AAAAAAAAAAAAAAAAAAATCAAAAGTTTAGGATGAGGGGAACAAATTGCCTCGCAGTTACAGTACAGACCTGCACGAGTTATTAATGGCCAATACCTGCAACATAAAATCGACGACCTGCACTGCAAGCTTGAGATCAAGCGGCATGCAGAAGAACTACTACTAAGAAGTACTGGTGTTGCTTGTTTCGGGCATCGATTCATCCATAGCCAGACCCTCCATGGAGAAAAATTCTTATCAGTCCAGCATGTGACATCAGACTTTCTAGTTTTCACCCAATCAGATGAGGATTTGGCTTATCAGATCGATCGTGCACGGCTTGAAGCTACGAGGCCCCGGGATTCAGTTACATTCAGTTCGTACTTGGGGCATTTTTAAAAGGGACGAGGGGTTTTAGATGGTTCTTCAAGTGGTCCCTGAGTAGGAGCAGCTCCGTCTGAACTCTTAATTGCCCTATGAGATGTTGGAGAGCCCTGTAACATGGGACGGAATCTTGGCCTTTTGCGGCAGTTTCAAGACTAGCGTCATGCACCTTGATCTAACTGATTGATAAGATTATCCACTCCGGTGAAGGAACTCTCACAGAAAGACACAAGAATAGGAGGAAGTAATTCATGTGTGGATACACAAATCTGTTTATCAATCTGAATTTTCTCAACTGCGGAGGTGAGGGATTTTATGTCTGGAAAAGCGGTTTCAGTCTGTTCTTGTCCTCGAGACTTGTACTTGTGTAGAGGCAGATAGATGTACCATACCTCCTGTATGTCTCTTATACCGGAGACAAGGAAGAGCATGCTATGATATTGGTCGGAATCTCCTGCCAAGAACTTGTGTAAGTTCGGAGAATAAGATCTTGGGACCATGATAAATAACGTTCCACATTGGCTTAACCGATATACTCACTACCTAGGTATTTAGATGTGCAAGGGCCAGACTTGACTTTATATATGAGAACAATCTTTTCCTCTTTCGGATATTCCAGTTCAATCATTCAAGACCTGTACATAAATGATTGAGATTACCTGTCAGTAAGCCCCATATGTGTTTCGAGTCTGATATTGTCTCTATCACTGGAGAATGTCTCAAATGGCGGGGCTGCGGGGGAAATCGCGGTGAACGCGACGAGACGCGTCTAGTTTAATTGATTGCATAATGCCCAGCAACCATCCATCGAGGGTGTAAGAAATAATTACCCTGTTAGCCAGCAGAGACTCGAACAGAGTGACCAAACTATTTCGTCTTTCTCAAGACAGTCAACTTTTCTGATACCTGGATGCACCTACCCACCTACCAAACACTCGACATCCCAAACCACTACCTTCTACTCAGCAACTAATCGCCATCACCGCCAAAATGACCATCTCACAGAACACCGCAGAGGCCAACCCCTCTAACGGCTCAAAGTCTATCAACCATGAGGAGAACCAATATCTTGACCTCGTTCGAGAAATTCTCGAGACCGGCGAGCGTCGACCTGATCGGTGAGTCACCATTGATGCGCCTACTTTGACCAATATCTAACAACACTTGCAGTACTGGTACAGGAACATACTCGATCTTCGCCCCTCGACCTCTAAAATTCTCCCTCAACAACAACGGAACACCCATCCTACCCCTCCTCACCACAAAGCGTGTCTTCACCCGCGCCGTCATCGCCGAGCTCCTCTGGTTCATCGAGGGCAACACCTCCTCCAAAAGCCTAAGCGACGCCGGCATCAAGATCTGGGATGGCAATGGCTCCCGCGAGTTCCTCGATAACCTTGGTCTTCAGCACCGTGAGGTTGGCGACCTAGGTCCTGTATATGGCTTTCAATGGCGACACTTTGGTGCCGAGTATGTCGATGCCAAGACAGATTACACTGGCCAGGGAGTAGACCAGCTTGCTGAGATCATTCACAAGCTGCGAACTAACCCCTATGACCGCCGTCTGGTTCTTTCTGCTTGGAACCCCGCCGATATGAAGAAGATGGTCCTGCCACCCTGCCACATGTTCGCCCAGTTCTATGTATCTTATCCTCGAAGTAGGGATGAGAACTCAGAAGAGAAGCCCAAGGGCCACCTTCACTGTCAGCTCTACCAGCGATCTTGCGATATGGGTCTTGGTGTCCCTTTCAACATCGCCAGTTACGCCTTGCTGACACATATGATGGCACATGTCTGCGAGCTGGTTCCTGGAAGCCTTACTCACGTTATGGGTGATGCTCACGTGTACCTTGATCATGTTGACGCCCTCAAGGTTCAACTAGAGCGCGAGCCCCGAGACTTCCCCGAGCTGGAAATCGCCCGCGAACAGGGTGGAAGCATTGATGGATGGAAGGCAGAGGACTTTACGGTCAAGGGATATGACCCCCATAAGACAATTGCGATGAAGATGTCTGTATGAGTTAAGTTATGCTCAAGTCAGGTTATTTGAAAGTCAAAGATATTTAATGACATGGAATAGATAGCGTTGGTATATAGCTTTATTAATCAAGAGACACTTATTGGACTCGTATATGCATGTGCTTTTCCCCTCGATATTTCGTTTTGCCATAATGACAACTCCAGCTGTTAATATACTCTGAATGGGTCGTCACAGGCGGTAATGCGCTACTGGTGATTGCTAACATGTCGAATCACGGTATGATGTTGAACACAGAAAATAGACACCAGATGATACAGCAACAACTATGTGCCTTTCCCAAATCTCGGGGCACCGATTAACATCTACAAGCTATACAGTAACTTATACATATCGAGTAAGAACACTCGTTAAAGTGCTGACCCGAATCCAGACTATCCAACCAGGTTTTGCATCGCAAAGATGGAAAAGCATTTACTGCTTCTTCTTGTTAGAGGCCTTGGAAGGGGAGCCCTCCTTCTTCTCAGCGGCTTCCTTGGCCTCCATAGCGGCATAGTCATCAGCCTCCTTCTTCTCAGCATACCACTCACCAGCCTGGAGAACGAGGATGCCGACAAGGACAAGAGCAAGAATGGTGTTGCTAGCGGAAAGAACCTTCAAGCTGTCCTCGCGACCAAGAATCATCTCGCCGCTTTCACCCTCGTGGGTCTTGCCGTCGAAGCCATCGTTGGTCCAAATATCTGCGCTGACGCTTCGGAGAGCCTTGACAATGTTGGCAACGTAGACACCGAAGCCGATGAGGTAGAGGATCAGAGAAGCGCCGTCAAAGAGGAAGTTGGCCTCGCTCGGGCGGAAGAGCTTGATGAAGAAGCCGATGAAACCGATGGAGATGACAATGTGGAGAATGCGGCTGATAAGTGCGGGGGACTGGTGCACGAACTTCAGATGCGTCTCGAGATGGTCGAAAAAGTTGTCGGGAACGGGGGCCTTGGTCCAGAGGAGAGGGAAGTCGTAGGGGAACGACGCGAAGAGGATACCCAGGAAGAAGCAGACAGCTACGACGTGTGTCAGTATTTGGAAGAAGCGATTGGTCGCAACAGGGTAACTTACGGGCAATGATCATGAAAGTAGCGAAAGAGCCAGATCCATGGTAGTTCTTTGACCTGGTGTTCTTGGAGTAATCAATGAAGCCGCTCATTGTGAATGATGCTTATGGAGGGGTTTTGGAAGCGCGAAAGATCTGGCGCAAGTGCGGAGTATGCCAGAGAGTAGAAGTATATAATGCGCAGGAGGTCAGACAAGCGAAGAAATGACTGTCGCAATGCGCTCAATATTACGCTCAACAATTGATGTTGCGGAGAATGTGCGGAGGAGAGAAGAGAAGAGAGAAGAGGAGGTTGTTCTCCATGTAGTGGGACGAAAACTAAGGGTACCTAGCTTCAGTTTAGACCAAGCCCAGCCCCAGGAGCTTCTTGGTAAAAGACTGATAGGTACCTTCCAAATTGGTGGTAGACTGGGGGTTTCGTGGAGTACCTACCTGTCCTTATCTCTCTGTCAGGTGGGTTCTAAGCTTCCAGCTCTAAGCAAATATGGGGTTTATGACTGGTTGCCATGCTTCTTGTACTCCACAAGCTGGGGTCTAGATGTCAGTCACTTCAGTTCTAGAAGCTGAGTAACTTGATGTTGATGATAAACTAGAGTATTACTTAAATTAAAGAGATATGGCTGAATCTAATCATTGTTAGTTACTAAGAAAGATGTCCGGTTTATGGAGCTCCTATGGCTGAAAATGTCCTTGGAATAAGAGCGGGCCTGATAGTCTAGCAGGTTGGTTTATAGGAAGAGCTTTATCAAAGACGAAATGATGCGTTTTTTTTAATACTTTATGTTTTACATATTGGACCTTATCTAGTGGAAATATTGAGGATCAAACGGGACATCGGCGGTCCTTGATACTGTGTGCTGACCATAACTCATGTCTCTTTACTACCGCACACACTGCAGTAACATCAGCATCACAAGAAAAGTCAGCAACAAAATTTGAGTATAAGAGAACTTTGGACAATCAATCAAGGCATAAACAAACTTCCTAAAGCAGAAGAGTTGTCGTCGCTGAGTCCGTCTTTTGCCTCCTCTGTGCATTCCAGTGATATAAAAGTAATGCGCCTCCGCCGATGCAAAGCCTTCAGTGTCAAACTACATTGGTAGTAGAAATGAAATTTCTAGTAGATAACATCAATAAAACCGTCTTTCTCTTTTGACTACACCGTGGCCTCGTATCTGAAGTGCTTGTTCGTCTGGCTACACGGCCTTGATGACCCGTTCCACCAGAAAGTTACGGAATAGAACATCATAACTCGAAATGATGCGAGCATTCTATATCACCACACTATTGTTATCCATCGTTTCCTATGTCTCATCTCAGGACTCATCCAGCAAGTCGGAACCAAGTATCTATCGCGGATCAAACGAGTATAAATACCACGGCTGCTACAATGAGACAACACAAGTCCAAGACTCCGCCGAAGAGCGCGCCCTTGCTGATGGCTCTCACCTCGTTAAAGCCAGCAAGATGACAGTCCCTATGTGTCTCGACTTTTGTACTTCGAACGGTACACAATATAAATATGCCGGGCTAGAGTGGTCAAGGTATGTTACAAATCGTAGACTTAGGATGGCTTTGACTGACAGTTATTGCTAGGGAATGTTGGTGTTCTCCCTACTTGTCCAGTCTTTCAGCGAAGCTTGACGACGATGACTGCGAAAACCCGTGTGAGGGCAACTCATCTCAGGTGTGTGGAGGACCACTCAGATTGAGTGTCTACCAACTCTCTAATGGAGGGGATGCACAAAATAAAGGGACCACACTCCAGATATCGGGGGTGGTGTTCGTCTCTGCCATACTTGGAGTATCTCTGTTATCACTTTGATTTGCGGGCGACCTATCCTCTGGTGAAAAGAATAGAAGTCATGTTAGATGGGTATATAGTCATAATCTAGTCGTAACCAACAAGTTGTTCAGAACTTCAATGGTGCCATGCCTCGCTGCTTCACAGCATCTTGCACAATCACCTTGATGCCCGCAACCGATTGCCTCCAAACCTCTTGTCCTCGCCCCTTTCTGCCATCCTGTTCAACTAAAACATCCAACCACTTGACCAACTTTGTCGCTTTCTCCAAATCTCGTTCTTCTTTGATCACTCGTTCAAGAAACTTTTCCAATACTTCTATATCCCCACGGTGGGGGCCATTCTTCCTTGTTTCTGTATGCCAGGCATCCAGCATGTCTTTGATTTCCCGAGTTGATGTTACCCCGGAACTTGCAAACGAGATCTCACGTGGAGCTGCGGCGAACTGAATTCTAAGTTGACCGCCTGGCAGTGCTGCGTCTGAGTCGGTAGAAACTTGTTTTCGCAAAGGGGCCTCTAGTAATTTCTGCTGAGCTCTCTTGCGTCTGTTGTGGTCTTCAACGATCTCCTTACGCACATCCTCAGGCAGTTCCGAAAGAAATTCCTCATCAAGTTCCTCGACGGCAGCCTCTTCCTGAAAGGCGTCACCAACCTGATTCAGTGATCGGAAATTGGTCTGCAATAGACCGGCTTGGGCATCTCTCTGCTTCTGAGCTTTACCAAACAAGCCTCGCGGTCTTCCTCGTTTCGAAGGTGTAGGAGGTTTCCTTGCTTGAATTGTACGATCCTTGCGTGGAGATTGATGAGGTGTAGGTGGTTTGGGATTTCGCCCGTATGTAGCCATAATCTCGGCCTTCATATCATCAGGTAGCGCGTTGAAAACCTCCGGATCAACTTGAGTTGGGCATACATCCAACGGCGCGGGGGTCTCTGATCTGGATTTGAGCACTGGGGATTCGGCCTCCTGTGGCATCCTAGACTTTTGAGCCATGAGCTTACTTCGAATGCTGCTAGGTAGCTCTGCTAGGATGGCGGGATCTACGTCTTTGGGAATGAGGAACTGAGTTCCCGATATATTAAGAGGCGTCTTGGCTTTTGCATCATCTTGGCTAGCCTTTGTCAACGCCATTGCGGGATGCATTTTCTGCTTTCGTGGAGTCAGAGGATCATCAGCGATTGGATCCTTATGAACCTCGCGACTAGGTGTTATCCTCTGTTTCTCTGAACTCTTGATCTCATCGATCGGTTCTGCCAAAGCAGTTTTCTTTGCTGGCGAAGGTTTTGTGAAAGCGTTGAATGCTAACCTCTTCTGACTACCATCTGGAGCCGCCAGATTTGTCTTCATGGGTTCAAGTTTAGTCATTTGCACTCCTAGCCCGCGGAGGTCACCAGGGCTGAACTTGAAAGACCGCAGAATATTGACTGCCTCTTTACCAATGACTTGTTGATCGTTGGTGGCCACCCCGAAAGTGGTACTCTTGTTGAATGTGTCGCATTTGCCATGGCCGAGGGACTTCGGTGGATCAAGAGGCGCATCCATCGACCTCCTCATAATCTTCATGGTGAACTGCTTTCCCTTGACATTCTCGTTCAAGAGTCGTTTCTCTAATTCCTTGCAAAGGTTGTATATGAACTCCTCTGCCTCCAATTGATTGATGAAGCGAATACCCCAATTGACTTCTGCAGATACAGACTTTCGCGGTGGCTGCTCGCCAACTTCTGTGCGGTCAATACCGCGGGCATATTCTCGAAGCTTCTCACCGGTCTTTGGTCCAAGGATTGAAATAAGACGTTCTTTCGACACTTCTCGCAAGTCCTTGACAAGAACAACGCCGATATCTTCGAGCTTGCCACCGATACTACGGGCAACTCCAGGAAGCTGGTCGACTTTAAGTTCTCCGATCATATCCAAGACATCGTCTGGTTTCAACTGGTATTGTCCGACAGGTTTAGCTTTTCGCAATGCGACCTTGGCTTGCAGGATATTCGCGCCGATCCCAACAGAAACATGGCAGTCTGTGAGAGATTTGATCTTCTCGCGAAGATCTCTTGCAATCTTGTCTGCCATGTCACGTTCCCGGGCAATGTTTCCTGGTTCGAAGCCCGTACGTTGGGACCCAGTGGATGTCATGGCAATAGATGTTATGTCAATGAGGGCCTCGTCTATGCTGACGCTTTGCACTAAGCCACCAATGTCTAGAATGGACTCATAGAACAGGCGACTCGCTTCTTCATATGCAGGAAAGTCGTAAGGAAGCACCTTGAGATCTGGGCACAACTCAAGCGCAGATTTCATCCACATACCGTTCTTCACTCCAAATTCTCGAGCAGGGTAATTGCAACTTGCAATTTCTGAACCTGACCCTGTGCTGTGCGCAACGACTGCCGGTTTGGTGATATACTCGGGGTTCTTCTTTAAGGAAACAGCACAAAAGAAACTGTCAAAGTCGACATGCATGACATACCGCCTCGAGTTAGGGCGTTTTTTGAGATTCGAATGTGCCTGCCCCTTTTCTGCAGCTAGTCGTTGCATTCTAGATTTCAATTCAGCTTTCCACGTAGAGAGGTGGTGCAGTCGACTCTCGGAGTAGAACTGCTTCAGAAAATCCGGATTCGCGGTCGAGGACTTCCTAATCCGTGGGTCGGACAATAACTGCGCATTGTGCTCCTCAGATGTCATCGGTTTTTGAGGTTCCTGTGCTTTGTCCTGTACAGTAGGCACGGAGACTGCCTCTGTCTGTGATTCAATAATATTGCCCTTATTTATATTTGGACGAGTTGAAACTGCGTTGGATTGATCCTCAGTACGAGGTTTGAAGCGTGCCTCAGGCTTCTTGAAAAAGGGACTTTCAACACCTTCCATTTGCGTGATATCCGAGGCTGGATTGGTGCGAACGGGAGTCTGAGCTTTCTCAAGAACTTGACTTAAAGATTGGCTTGGCAGAGCAGGCGCCTTGAACTGACTGGTATAAAAACTGTTGTCTGTCATTTCACGATAGCCTTGCTTAGTTCGAGGCGTCGTTGGCGATAAGCCGCTACTCCCATCAAACTTGAGAACCTTTTGTCGCGGTCCTTCGTCCAAGACTCGATAGTTAGACCATGGAAGTAGCTGTCCTGCTTGGATCGAATCCATGATCCAGGCAGGTTTGACGATTCGGTACCGGTTGAAATCGACAGACTTTTTGGGAGGCAAAGTTGAAGCAATGATGTGAGTAGCCATTGTTTTTGAATCCAGGTACTGGAGGAAACCACCGCCATGTTGTACTATCTCGCGGTGTAGTCTGTCATTGTGTAAGTTGAGAACCAGACCGAAATGTTCCCAGCGAGACTTACATGTGCAATGGCGGTTGAGTATATCCTGTGACATGTGCGACAATTCCCTTGAATATTTGAGGCTTGTCCGATTTTGCGCGCGTCTCTGCGTCCAGATTCTGGAGCTTGATCTTCTTGCGCCGAAAATAGTCGTTGAAACCACCGAACTCGCTGCCATCGTACTCATCTCCGCCTTCATTCTCAAAAGTATGCGTCTCGATGCGCTTTCTCACTTGAGAAGAGTTTTTGTCAAGAACGCTTCCCATCTTGGATTTTCCTTTTTGATGACAGCGGTATTGTGTCCGTTAAGGTTTGTAATAGTGGTGGCAAGGATAATGCGCCAGGAGAACTCTTTCGCATCGCTATCCTTGCATTACATGATTAATAGAAAATGTTATTAGATATTTTGTGCGCCAAGAACAGTAGATTTCAATCAGGATTAGTTCAGTCGTTTGCTGTGCGATGGTTGTGAAGTTTTCGTGATATGCGACAAACCGAGGCGTGGGCGAGTGATGTCAAAAGCGCGTAAAGTGGAGCACGAAATCGCGTTGCGACACGATAACTCGTGACTTCGGAGCACAGCCACAGCCACAAGCCACACATCAAGACCCATGTACCTTATTGTTGAAGTTCTGAATTCAACTTTCGAGATCGCAATTTATCACAACATCAACACTGTCTTTCGCTGATCAAGTGCGCCGCGACTCGGGCGACAGACTTCGGGATGAACAACGAACAATTCCGTAAACTCATAGGTTCGAACTCGCAAAAGAGTTCCAATAGCAAAGATGGCGCATCCTCATCAACCCCAGCTGTTAGAAATGCGCTGGGCTCAAGACAACGATCAAGTATCCCAATGACCCCGTAAGTCAATTCTTCGCTACATTTACATCAGATACTAACAATACAAAAGACGCGCTGTATCTGGTGCTCAAGCAGACTTTGCGCGACAACTTGCCGAGCGAAACGGTGCAGCTCGACCGCAAAGGAAATTCAAGTCTTACGATCCGAAGGGTGTCAAACTCGCTTCAGGTTATACCGATCGATCGAAAGAACGTGACGAAGAGACGGAAGACGAAAGGGTACAGAAACTGAAAGACCTCGAAAAGCAGTTGAAGGATGAGGAGATCGACCAAGAGACGTTTGAGAAGCTACGATTCGAGATTGCCGGTGGAGATTTAAGCAGCACCCATCTGGTCAAGGGTCTTGACTTTAAACTTTTGAAGAGAATTCGAGAGGGAGAAGATATCTACGGCGAGAAGAAAGAGGATCCTAAGGAAGAGCCCGAGCCCGAACCGGAACCGGAACTCGAGCACGAAGGCGAGGGCGAGATCGACATCGACGATGAATTTGAGAAGATGGAAAACAAAGAGGTCCAGGCGATAGAGAAAGAGAAAACGGAGACGAAGAAGAAGGGCCAACTTTCTACAGTATCTCTAGCACCAGGCAAAAAGCGAACACGCGATCAAATATTGGCAGAGTTAAAGGCGGCAAGAGAAGCAGCCAAGGCACAACAAAACACCCTTGGAGATCGGTTCAAGAAAGTTGGAATTAAGCAAAAGGCCGGTTCACGAATAGAGCGGGACAGCAAAGGACGAGAGGTTTTGATCATTGTGGATGAAGATGGACACGAGAAGAGGAAGGTTCGCAAAGTCCAACCTGGTGCCGAGGAAGAGGAGACTGACCGTTCCGGTCTCTTGATGCCAGATAAGGATGCAAAGCCTTTAGGCATGGAGGTCCCGGAGCAGTACAGGAAGCAAGAAGAGGAACCTGAAGAGGACATGGACATGGATATCTTTGATGGCGTGGGTGACGATTACGACCCCTTGGCTGGCATGGACGGTTCAGACTCAGATTCTGACGTGGACGACGATTCCAAGAAGGTGAAACAACAGAAAACCGACGAATCAACCGCAGATACATCAATGCCACCACCACCGAAACCACAAGCACCCCGGAATTACTTCCAAGGAGCCAAGACAGGTCTCGTATCGGAGGAACAGATCAAAGCGCCGTCGATGTCTGATCCTGCAATCATGGCAGCATTCAAGCGCGCAGCAGCTCTCAACCCAATCAAGAAAGACAAGGGAGATAGTGACGATGATGACGATGATGATGGTCAAGATGAGGAAGCACAGAAGAAGGCTATGGAAGAACGAAAGAAGAGGCTTCTTCAGATGGCAGACCGAGATGACCAAGATTTGGATATGGGCTTTGGTACAAGTCGGTTTGCTGATGAGGAAGACTTTGATGAGAGCAAAGTCAAGCTTTCGAAGTGGGGAGGCAACAATGACGACGACGAGGGAGAATCAAAAGGTGGACCAAAACGAAAGAGAGGACCAAAGAAGAGAAAGGGCGATGCTAATAATGCTGCCGATGTGTTGCGGGTTATGGAAGCACGCAAGAAGACATGAGATATATGACCTCGGCTACCAGATAGTCAGGACTGCTATCATGAAATATAGGTATTCGGCGAAAGCCGAGCCTCATAGATACCCCAGGCATAATTAATTCACCGCATAACTCATATGATACTACAATCTTTTACGAAATAAATTCTAGCCGCCTGCTTGAAGAGGAAGTTGTTTCCTCTTAGTTTGGTTGCTAGTCAAGTTTATTAGGTCAGATCAAACAAAATGCTTGGAACGTGCACCCCAGACTCCAGTAAATTCATGCTAGAAACAAGCAGCAAAATGAGGGGAAGATAATGGAACCCCACCATAAGTTAACTAAGAGCTTCCAGGGTCTCTATTAAAGGGTTTCCTGTAGGCTGATGAAACGTCACAACTTTAACAACTCACCTGCAGTATCGATACAGTCAGTACCTACATTTGCGGCTGACAACTGAAACCTAACCTAATTTCCTAAACAGACTCTATTACGAAACCCTTCTTTTGCATAGACTTTTTTTTGGTTTCGTTTTCTCTCAACGTCTTGAACCTAAGTACCCATTATCTACAATGTCCGACGCTCAGGTTCCTGTTTGGTTGGACTGTGATCCTGGTCATGATGTACGTATAGACAAACGCAGAGTTCTCCTTCTGGTCTCATATTAAATGGGCTTAGTTGTGATACAAGACTCATTCATCAGATATGTCTTCAGCAATTGCTTTGTACTATTTGATGGCTATGCCTAGTAATACTAACAGTCTTAAAGGACGCTTTCGCAATTCTTCTTGCCGCTTATCACCCCCAGATCAGACTGCTCGGCATCTCAACAGTTTTTGGAAACGCCCCTCTTGAGTATGTTTACTTTACTACCATGTCATAAGAGAATATGATCTGATTCATACACAGGAACACCACACACAATGCGGCCTCCGTTCTGACCGCCATTGGAATGCATGATATTCCTCTGTACATCGGTCTAGGAAAAGCCCTCGAGCGTCCTGCCCTCCATGCCCCAACAGACATCCATGGCGTGTCTGGACTAGACGGCACTGATCTTCTTCCTGAGCCAGTTGTCACTCCCTCTACCATGCCAGCCGTTGAGGCAATGGCTGAGGCTTTGCGAGCCCAACAACCCGGCACAGCATGGATTGTCGCGACTGGTGCGCTGACCAACGTTGGAGCTCTATTCCGCGCATACCCAGAGCTTATCAGCCACATCAAGGGTGTCAGTCTCATGGGCGGCTCCATCGGCGACGGCTTCTCAGACGCGCCGCTGGGGGAGGTTGATGGTCGACCTAGAATCGGAAACTACACACCTTGGGCTGAGTTCAACATTCTTGTCGACCCCGAGGCTGCTGCGACGGTCTTCCATAACAAGGAGATCGCTGCCAAGACCACAATTGTGCCGCTTGACCTTAGCCATCAGGTGCTGGCTACACCCGAAGTGAGAGACATGCTTTTGTATGGACCTGATGCTGAAAAGACGGGCCCTGGAAAGACCCGACTCCGAACCATGCTTGTCGAGCTCCTTTACTTCTTTGCCCAGACATATGCGTAAGTCATAATACCACAAACCAGTACTTCCAACTGACAATTCTAGCGATGCTTTTGGTATCACTGCTGGCCCCCCTCTGCATGACCCTATAGCTGTTGCCGCCGTTCTCATTGGCACAGAAAGCGAAATCCCCTTCTTTGAGTGGGATGCTAAGCACAGCCAGCCTCCTCAGCACGACGAGCGCTTCGACGTTACCGTCATCACTGAGGGTACCTTTGAGGAAGCCAAGGCTGGTAAGCAAACAGGTCGCACAATCGCCAAGTTACTCCCTCCTGGTGAGCAGGGCGTTAGAATTCCGCGTGGAGTCGACACTGCCAAGTTCTGGCAGGTTATTGAAGAGTGTATTGAGAGAGCAGACGCAAAGAATGCTGCACTTGCTCTTGCATAAACTTTGATAAATCAACAATTGTAGATAAAACCACGCAAGTAGCAGTAGATAATATGGCGAATCATTCTGTCATGATAAATCTATTAAATATTGTTACAGTCTATAACTCATTGGGGATGGTTTCCTTACTGCCTGAGTCCCAATCAAGCATCACCTTCAAGCTCTGTTCGTAGGTCCAGAGAGTGACAGCGCTCGCCGGCGCTGATTTTAAAAGACTAATAGTTAAGCCCTTGTATAAGCCACGGAAGCTTTCTGTACGCAGGATTGTTTTCAGGGCACCTCGAGCTGTGGAATATTCGGGAATATTTTCGTAGACGTATTGTTTGCGTGCTGGTCCCTGAACTTGAATGCGTTTTCGGACAAGGTCAAGAGGGAACACTGCTGTCTTGGAGATGACACTGGCGCACATGCCAGCTGTAGCATCTCCACTACCCCATGGCATGTGTAGTCCCTCCATCGACGTTCTGAGAGACTCGTATGTCACGAAGAAGATACCCATGAAAGGCATAATCTGACCGAGACCGGGTCCAATGCCTCTGAAGAATCCTCGCCATCCTTCGTCACGCTTGATATCCCAAATTGCGCCACGAAGCGATTGGTATACTCGATGTCGCCCCTGAGCGGCGAATCGTGTTCTTAATAAGTCGAGAGGGTATGTGACAGTTGTGGCTGCTGCACCGGAGGCCGCACCAGCAATAAAACTTTCCGCAGCATCAGGTAACCTCGAAGGAAATGCGGTTCGGAGAAAGACAGTCGTCGATCGGTAGGCCGTGAACTGAACAGCGCCATAGCAAACATATAGGAGTTCTGCAGGGACATTGCCCTTCCACAAGCCCGTTACGCCTTCATGTTTGAGTATGTGTTTTAGGGTCTCGAAAGCTCCTCGATAGGCTGGAGCGTTGCGCAAAGCTGCTACCGGATCGGAAAGAGAATGTGGTTGAAGTTGAAGGCGGATTTTGACGACATCGAGAGGAGCGACGACAAATCTAGAAATCACAAAATTTTAATTTCGGCGCCCCTTTTTACAGAGCTGAAGATGGGAAGTACCTTGAAACCAGTCCCGCGATTCCACCGGCAGCAATTACTTGTATCTTGGAGCCCTAATTGCGATCGTAAGCCGGGAGTCGTGTAAGTTAGAGAGCTGGAATCCTACCTCATCCTTGAGGTGCCCTTCTTTGTGTGACATGCATCCAGCTTCAGCCCTGGCGGACTGCGAAATAACACGAGTTTCCACTAGGTCGAATCAATTGCGCCTGGCGATAATAGCGCGGATACGGTCAGTATCGAAATTGTTGAATGCTGGTGCATAGGTGAATGAGTTGAGTTGATGGTAGAAGTTGCTGATAAAAAGTTACTGATAAGCAGATTGCGACACAACGGAGATCGATGTGCGGAGGCGATAGTGTGAATATAGCGTTGTATTTTTGATGGATAATATAATAAATCAGATAAATATTGGAAGCTCTAGATAAAGGTTATGTAAATTTCTGGAGGTTTCCTGATAGAGGATTCTGGTGAGTTCGTCATAATTAGGTATCGCATCACGGGGAAAGAGATCCGTGGCCACATTGGCTAGAAATTTCCTTGTCGCACTCACGATGGATTCTATGAGTTCCATTGTGTGACAGCATAATTTCTGATGTTAGCAGCTGTTAGCCTAAGATAAGCGGGTGGACGCGGTTGTTGGCGGATGAGATAGAAGCCTTCCCTCTGTGTCCTTTATGAAGGTTAATCGAGGTTTAGGGTCCTTTGCTTTGTGTCAGGAAGAAAAGAGAAAGATCCCGATATTTCTTAAGAGGTAAAAATAATATCTGATGTTCGATAACCTCGGGGTCTCTTGGACCGAAGAGGAACTCATGAACCGAACCGATAAGAATAAAAAAGGCGATCGACTTGGAGAATCTCAAGGGTCTCGACCAGGTCTATCCTGTTATAGTTAGATCAAGCCACTTAAACCAACCAAAACCGTAGAATTGTCACCTGCACTTTTTGTAATGAATGGATGCAAGTGATCACTGAAATAGTGCAGATCAAGTGATGCTTGGAGCAGTCATGAATAAGATACCCTCACAAAGCATTGTTAGGTCAATCAAATACGAAAAAGAACTCCATTTCCTCGTAACCTCTATTCTATCAAGAGCTTATCCTCGATACTACGTAACGTGGGGTCCTTCTTCCCCACAATCGCTACCACCAAAGCACAACCGCCGAGAGAGCCTCCCGAGCCTCTAAAGAGTCTCCATTGCTCCGGCCGGGACCCTTCTTCTCCTCATGTTATCTTCCGTTACCGTTATTGGTCCGACTCCCACAATCCAGTAGAGCTTGGAGATTTCCGGGGGAAAGTGCGCATGGACAAGGCACGTCACTTGCCTCTTGAGCGTCTTGTGCCGCATCGCCGATAGGTACCTGCCTTTAATATTTGGCTATTCATTCTTCATTGCCGAGCAAACAACCCGCAAACACATGTTCTTTACCCGTCGCATATATTTTCAACACCCCCTCATACTTAACATTCTTGTTTTTATCTTGTAACTTTTCACATTTCCTTGTTAATACTTAATCTTACTCTATATCTATAACTTGTACTGTCCACTGACCTACAACTACTGGGTCCACGAGCTTACCTGTTTGCACGTGAAATCCACTCTCGTGATCCTCGAATTTTCTATTCAGTTCGTTATAACTGATGCTGAACAAGTCGCAATCGCAACATAAATAAACACTTCGACCAGCCTTCGAGCATTCTTCACCATGGCCACTCCACAAATCCCCCCGCCGGACGCGGCACAACTTCTGGCACCGTTCCTACCTGCTCTCCCACCGTCCACCATCTCTAAAGAGCCTGCCATTGGCATCCTGCCACTCCTCTCTCCTATACTACGTCAGCGAGTCAAGCTTTTGTCTACGTCCAGCTCTGAGCCATGGATCCAGCTGCTCTGCTACGACAAAGCCAAAATACCAGAACTAGTACAGATTGCCCAGGGTGGTAGCCTCGAGCCGCATCCTGTGTCTGGCGAGGTCGAGGTTGACTGGGATTATGATGCCGAGACACGATTTCGACGAGTTGACGAAGAGACTCTACAAGCCCTCGTTGCACTTTCCACACTTGGATTGGCGTTCCAGCTGATATACTGTGTTGGAGATGTTGAAGGTGGTGGCGATGGCTGGAGAGTAGGCGAGGTTACCGTCACAGACAAGCCGTCGCCTTTCTTGCAGTTTGGAGGCGCCTCTAATATCGCAGAGGCTGAGCGACAGTTCGTTGAGACCCAGGCCAAGAAGGTTACCAATATCGCCAAGGATACCAATGGCCATAGCCAGAGTTTACAGGTTCCAGATAATGGCCACGATGACGAGGACGATGACGATGATTACTGGGCACGATATGATGCAACACCAGCCCGTACCCCCGCACAAAAGTCGCCCGCTCCTGTTTCCAAGACCACTTCACAAGTCGGCGATGTACGAGCAGCTTCAGCAGAGGATGCATACTTTGCCCAGTACGACAGTGTACAGCCTGCTATGGACAATCATGATCCTGATGAAGAGGAGGTCGCAGCGCAGCTTTCCCCGCCGCTCGGCATGGGAAGGGCACACGAGTCTGCTGAAGCTACAGAGCTCAACGAGACCCAGGGTGCATGGACGCTGGCAGAACTTGATCCCAAGGAATCAACACAGAACGGAAACAATGCTGATTCTGCGCTACTACACCCTCGTCCAGCTTCTAGTGCAAGCTCCAATGGCTCAGAGACGGTTGCCAAGCTCGAGGCTTCCGCTGGCAAACAGACACAGAACGAGTTTGGTGTGAAGCAACACGTTTCGCGCAGCATCCGAAGTTTGTTCTTGCTTTCAAGAGCGTCAGGTATTGACCGCCACGAGTTTGAGAATCTTGTCAAGGCTGAGCTTGATGTTCTTGGTATGATTGAGGATCAAGAACAAGTTTGATGTTGATTACGTCGCGCTTCTGGTGCATAATTGGCGTCTATCTCGACTCATGATGAAATTTGGAACCCTTTTTGGACAGGATGAGTACATTTTGGTAGTCTTGGCATGCATGTAAGGCGTTTATCATTGAGCATCTGGTTGGCAGTAGGTTAGGCGGCGATCTGTTTTGAGCCTTGTCGAGGAACTTGAATGAAATATGGCCATGAGTACTGGCTTCAGGTGTAACTATCTAGTATATTATGGAAGAATGAACCTATATCATATTTAAGTGCTTGAATGAAGGGGTCTGCTGAGTTTCTACATTGGCAACGCAAGCCTGTGACCCCCGTGGCATCCTTGCTTTAAAACATGTTTAAGACATTACGGATTTGAGAGATTTGTTGTGCCAAGAGAACAAATGGAAGCCACAAAATTTCTTCCGTTAACTATATATTTCCAAAATTACGTTCCAAGTACTACTGCTGCGGGCTGAATCAGCCGAAACGCCAAGTCGTGATATCTTGCTATAAAAAGCCAATATAGTACCACCATATCCTGTATCATCAGTTGTCTCATTCTATGTCCAAGTCTGTCTAGAACAGTTTCTCGCAAATTATGCAATAACGAGATTCTCCAGTGCTATGCGAGCCGTCTCGAGAACTCTAGTACAATTGCGTTCTGACGGAGCAACCGGTTTCGACGGATAGATGACTCCAGAGATATGGTCATGGTTATGTCCTGCGGCTGTCCGTGAGTCCAAGAGTGCATGCCTCTGTCTGCTTCGCTCCTCCAGCGTGTCCACCACATCCTTAAGACCTAGTTGTCGATACGACGCAGCTCCCGGGATTTCATGATCTTTCTCATTAAGTCCATAGACGTCCAGACGGAGAAGACCGCGGATGGTTAGTCTCCACAAGTCTGGTGGCATTGTTTTGTTGTTGTACGTTTGGTAAGCCGTGCAGCTGTCTGACGTTTCTCCAACGCAACCCCATAATCCACCAATATCTTTGAAGGCAAACCAGAACGTCCGGCCTTCTTTCTTTGCACGGACTGTTTCTTCATCTACCATTTCTAGGATTCGAGCATAGGCATTACATGCTGATGGAACCAGAGTACCGAGAAGCATGAGGTTCTGGAAGGCTTGGATGGGAGGTGGTTTGAGAGGCTCGTCCAGCATGCAGTCTAAGCAAATGGTGCACTTGATAACGTCGTGAGCAACCTTGGAAGCGTTTCGGGCGACTTTCATGGCGGGAATGACCTCGTTGGGTAAGTTTCCTAGGGATTCGAGAGCGAAGAATAGTGTTGATAGACAACTGCAAGATACTGTGGGAATAGACCGCATTGAGGGGTTTGGTGAACTGGCAGTGTCACCGGGGGAATTAACAGAAGCTCCATTGTCGCTAGAGTCTGGCGGTGTTGAACTGTCCGAAGCTTGATGTGATTCGGCGTTTGGCGGTTCGATCTGATCAGTCAGGTATCGATGGAGTGTGTGGCTTAGATCTTTTGAGACGGTGTCTTGGGAAATGTCTGTATCTCCAAAGTTGATGGTACCCAAAAGATCGACGCCGCTTAGATTCAGCGCTGGTAAAGCGGAGTTGTTTTCCATGAAGGACCCATCATGGTCAAAGATCTGAGGGTCGAATGGAAGAGCATCGTTGTAGTTGGGTAACAAGTCCCAGGTATTGATGTCTGTAGAAACAGGGTCATCTAAGAAGTTTAGAGTATCAAGAAAGTCTCCACCCGGCAATGTATCTTGAAGCTGAGGGTAAGATATATCGTCAGCGGGCTGGAGGAAGGGCAAAGACTGTTCTTGAGGTTGCGGCTGAGAAGCTGACACAGCAGCAGTGACATCTTCTTCCTCGGCGTCTATATGGCGTCTCTTTCGGGGCCGACCCATCTGCTTCTGGGGCGAGTAGTAGCATGTTATTCCCTCCTTTTTGCAACGGGCGCAGCCGTCGGGTTCTTTGGAGCAGGCGAGTTTGCGGGATCCTGGGAGAGAAAATGGCCGATAAGTCTCCGAGTCAGAGTCAGAGAGTGAGACATGAAGTTACTCACGGCATTCGTCACACGCTCTGTGCTTGGTGACTTTATCAGCAGCGGGTACTGCTACAGTAGACGCCATTTTTTCAAGTAGAGTCTTGGCTTTTTGATGAACTTTTCAAGGTGTTCATTTGATAGAGGTCCATATAGTAAGCAGTGGAGGCTATAGTGGATTGTGAGACAAGAGACAGAATGGAAGGAAGGATTCGATAATCCAGTCAGCAAGTCTTGGCCACTACAGATCAAAAAGTCTGACTAATTCCATTACAGCCTAATAAAGACAAGATACAATACAAATCTATTAACTGATCCCTAGGTAGCTTCATATGAGGCTGAGTTGTAGATCATGTCTCACATGGTTATCCACTTTCTCAGTAAATGGATCGACAGCTGGCATTACATTAATCAATCACATCCATGTGTCCTTGTTTCCAAGGCTCTTTTCAAGGTCTAATCAGAGGGTCTAGAGGGTCCCTCCACTGCTGTATTACCATTCATCGCCTTGATTATTTCAGCCCCAGATCCATGACCCTTTGACCGATGTTTTCGTGACTATTTCCTGTTTCTAGTCTGACGCTAAATCTTTCACATTTCAAGGGTCCTGTTTAACTTTTTATACTATATTTTTTGACTTCTTTGTCTAGAGTATAACTGCCTACCTAGACTTTTCTACAGCGGTAGTTTCACTGGCCATTCTATTCCCGTCTTATGCCGGCAGTTGCGATCTGCGTCCTGATAGAGTTGTAAACGTTGATACCACCCTATCCATCATCTTACATACAAAATCATCCTCAAGCGGTAACTGTCATTTCAGAATCAGCCATGGCTGCTACTTCAATACCCAATCTTGGCAATATCGCCCGCGCAGAATATCAAGCTCTATTCCATAAAGAAGTCGCACAAGGTCTTCGAGAACCTCTCGTTCTTCCATTTTGTCTTCTCGGCCCTTTTCTTCTACCAACCATCTATCTAGCAATCCCACATCGAAATAGGCCCTGGCTTTATCATGCACGTTGGCTCATTGTCGCTTTTGTCATTGTGTTCGATCTCTATATAGTTCGGCACATGTCGAGTTACAATGTTGCTACCGCTTATGCAGCCGGCCTGATGGGCATTTGGGGTATCTTGGCGAACCTGAATCTTTTAGTATGGACCAATCCACAGGCCGACTATGCGAGGATCATCAGAGTGCCCAAAGACAAAGAAACGACAACATCATCTAATGGAAATGTCAAGAATGATACTCTTGATACCAATGGCATTCACGAAAATGGACTGCGACAAAGGAAGTCTTATGCCAATGCTAATGCGCTTTCTGGAGATATCGGAACTCGCGCTAAGCATCAGGATCTCGGAGATACAGTTTGCGTTTGGCAGAGATTTCCTGAAAATGGGACTCTTGGTCAAAGGTTGAACTGGACGTTGGATTTGGCTACTAATTTTCGAGAAGTCGGTATGTAAAACAGTTCAGAACGACTTATACCTTGTTACTAACTCTTCTCAACAGGCTGGAACTGCTGTATAACTTCAGTTCCTAGACCTGAGATCCCAACCAACATTCGCGATGGAGACCCCGTATCCTTCAAGGACATGCCTGTCGTATCGAAAAGCGGCTACTATCGCAATCTTACCGAGAGAGAATTTGTATGGACTCGCCTCCGCAATGTCTTTCTCCTTACATTCGTCTTGGACTTTTGCTCTGTCATGATGGTAAAGGACCCCTACTGCACCTACGGACCTGATCGAGATCTTCCGCCGCCCTTGTTTCTCCAACAACTTTCTCCGTGGCTTCTCCAAGCATATCGCGAATTGCTATGTCTCATAGGCATATACGCGGCCATTGATGCTATTTTCAATCTGCATGATTTGTTCCAGTACTATGTATTCAGCTATGTGTATCCTATGCGCGGAGAGCTCTGGCAGTACACCAACATCTTCGGTCCAGTCTCGCAGATTCTCGATCGGGGAATTGCTGGTTGGTGGGGTGCTTTCTGGCATCAAACATTCAGACTCCAATTCATTTCCCCTGCAAAGTTCCTCGTTGATAAAGGGTATCTGCAAAAGGGCTCGTTGGCTACTCAAGTGGTCACCATGTATGTGTCCTTCATCCAGTCTGGCCTGCTTCACGGAGCAGGAAGCATATCCTCTATGCCTGAAACCAAACCCTGGAGAGCTCCAGTCTTCTTCTTCCTTCAACCACTTGGTATCATCATCCAGCTTCTTTTGCTACACTTGATGGACAAAGCTTTCCCCAACACCCCTCGGGGAGTTCGGCAAGTTTTCAACGCTGTATCAACTGCTGGCTGGTTGTATTATACTGCGTTTTTCTTCACAGATGATATCTCATCTAGTGGTATCTGGCTACTCGAGCCTGTGCCCATTTCTCCTCTGCGATGGTTAGGCTTTGGTCATCCAGATGATCATTGGTGGCGGTGGGAGAGGTACTTGTTCCCTATCTGGCATTCAGACAAGCATTGGTGGAAAAGTGGTTTTCAAATTTGAGATTATATAGAATTGGGTTCATCCAACCTTGTGGGATGGCGCAAGAATTATAGGGAAAGTAACGGTTTATAGGGTATAGATGTGTATTAGAGTAACCTGTCAGAATATAGAGCTTCAGACCACCCACTTACACGGACTGGCAACGGAGTCACTGTCTAAATCGCCATCTGTGTGCCTTTGGGCGTTTGTAACGATTCGTGCTTTTGTCCGGAAGCAAGTCTATCTGCCTCTTTACGAAGCCACTTCACCACAGGCTGATAGTTACTTTGCTTAGCTGCCAACACCTTCTCAAAAGCCAAACATGCAGTACTATTGAGGTCAGTAAAGCCCGGAAATAGTCATCAAAACTCTACTTACAGAGCAACTTGTGACTTTCGCACATCACAAGTATACTGAGGATATCTCATCATTCGAGATTTGCTGGTCAGCAATAGATAAGCTACATCAATCACTTTGGCAATGGTTCCTAAGAAAGATGAGTCAGAAGACGGGAGGTCACCTCGGGGAGTTGAGTTAACTAACGAAGTATCATTTCACTGCTAGGATGTTGGTTCTTTCCAAGGCAGCGAAGATATGCCCACATTTTACTAGCTGTCTCAACGAAAGCACCTTGTAGTGATGTGAGAACGGTTCGGGTTGAGTTATGAGCTGTGTCATAAAACATTAGATGAGACTGGATCTTGAAAGCGTCTATCGAGCAGAAGGAAACAATGGTCAGTATATCCTCAAGATCCATGTTGAAGGATTCTTACTTAGGACTTTTCGTTGGAAGTTCTGGCCTGGAGTACGGCCAAAGTCGACGGTGAGAGAGGCCGAAACATCTACTGAAGTTTTAGTAACAATACCAAACCGAATGCAGTGTTAAGCAACGTACCTAGGTTGGCATCTCTGTCCCTGTCCTTGGTAATATCCAACGTCTGGCAATTGATCGTCGTTCCACAGTAAGGAAACCCTTTCTCGTGGTTATACTTCCGAACGGGCTCACCATCATACAGCATGTCGAAGTTGACCATAGTCTTGGCGGGGTTAACTGCAACACCGTATTCGGGAAAGCCACCATGCATGGCATTCACGAACTCGATTGCCTTGCCCTGGTCCAAAGTGACCAAAAGGAAATCGTCGATAAGGCGCAATAGGAGACAGTCTGGTGAGTTGAGAAAGTCTAAATGCTTTGCTTCAAGATCGGCGTAGAAATAGTTACATAGAAACGAGGACAGAACTGAGCCTTGAGGAATGCCGACTTTCTGTCTATAGTATTTCTTTCCCACCTTGACAAGATTTTGTTCAACGTGCTGTTTCAGAAGGCGCATGAGATCTCCAACATTCTCAGTCCTGCGCAGAGCACTGTCCACAAAAACAGTGTTCTTTTTCTTCGGCGCCAAGTCATGCTCAAGGCGCGTTGCGAAATCTGGCTTCTCCCTCTCGCTTAAAGCTGTGGCATGCCATCTTCGAATAGCTTTGGAAGAAGATTTGTCATCGCATAACACAGCTCGTTCGCCTGGTTTGACCTCCACATGCTTCATGATGGTGTATCTTGGTTGACTGGGCACGGATTGCATGAGTTGGACGACTGCTTCTTGTGGAATGGTGTCGAAGGCGCCCTTCACATCAGCTTTGGCAAAGTATAACTTGCCGTGACCAGGACCTAATGACTCCTTGAAGGCCTTGAGGCGGGTATAAATATCACTGACGGAGAACATGGTAGAGCCTAGTTTTGAAGGATTGATTCTCTGAACTACTGATTAGCTTCAACTTCTCTGCGACCTCTGGTGATCGTACCTTTTCCAGTTTTAAGAGAGAATGGATGGGTCCTAGGACCGTGTTTATGCTTCGACCAAGATTCCTAGAAGGACCCCGAGTCATCGCTCTTCGTCGCAAATTCATGATGGGACGCAATTTTCCGCCTTTAGGCAATAATCGAACTTGACTGAAGCCCAGCTGTCGATTTTGCAATATCTGCTGCGCCTCGTCCAGCTTGACCTCCTCAAACATGTCGGTTCTAAGGTCTGCCATGGCAGGCTCTGCAATCTGTCTCCATACTTCATGACGAAAGTAAAAGACTTGATATCGATGGGTATTCGATTCAGTGACATAAAAGTTGTTGCGGATTAGGGGTATCAAGAGTGAGTCAAAAACAAAGTAAAGGAATTCGTGGAAGATTTCAAGACGTTTTTCGGTGTCTCTTCTGCTGGGTTTTTGATGACCAGCGTTGTGAGGCTTAAGCCATGGAATATCTGCGATCTGATATGTGGTTAGTTACTGGATGTTTCAAGCCCCCAGGCACTCAATTACCTTAAGTTTCTGCGTTATTTCATGTAACGACATGGCTTCAAAACGTCTCAGTTTGATGAAGTGATCAATGCTTCGCATTACAACTGATTTGTTGTGCTTTTTGACAGTATCATCTCCCCAGAAGCTATCAGGAATAATCTTGGACAAGACTGCTTGACAAAAAGCTGAAACCTGAGATGATGGCGTAGCTAGTTCGACCAAAGAATCGTGCTTCGGTAATGATTGCACCCGGGTGCTGGCTGCTCCAGCTTCTGGGTTCATCTGGGTCGAAGTACAATTGTAGTTCGATCGTGATGGGTGCTGTGAAGGCTTTGGTTTCCGAGAGGATGTTGGAATCTTCTTATTCCTTGGTCTTCGACTTCTTGAAGATCTATCAAATACGCAGGGGCAGTAATATTTCAACAGCTCAATGTATGAGCATCGACTATGAAGAACCTGTAAGCGTTTCACAAGTTCCTCGACGTCGCCGCGGAGCCGCTTGGGTATTTTCGGCATCTTTGGAACAGTGTCTCCTGGCTTGCAATCAAATACAGGGGCAATTTCTTCCTCTCTCAACGTATAGTCCTGGAATTTTTGCGACGTCTTGGTGGGGTCAACCTGAGAGGTGAAGACGTTGTGTAGTCCGAATTGACGAGGAAACATGTACATTATGAGCTTGATTATGCCTTCGCGTTCTTTGTCCAACTTCTCAGGGTCTGAAGATTTGCGATACCGGTTCAGCACATCTGGAACTATCAGTTTCTGGAAAAGTCACGTATCTTCGCCTGACTTACGAATGTGTTTGAAACCAGCTTGGACAAGTCCGTTTGCGGTGAGAGATGGTTTGGCGTAGAATATTCTGCTTCTCACCAGTGTTATATCTGCCGGTTTACGCACTTCACGAGCCGACCCTTTCCCCAGCGACACATTGCCGCCAGGGAGGTCAAGATCTGTAAGCGGTACGCCTAGAAAAGTCAGATTGATGTGTCACGGGAAGTGTGTAGATCCTACCTGTCAACTGGTGATAGTTATTGAAGCCAGCTTCAGCGGCTACATAAATCGAAGTATCAACAAGAAGGCCGATCATGATCTTCTCGCCGGATTTGCCAAGAAGCGCCAGTAACTGTGGCCAAGGGGCTTCCCTGAGTGCCTTTACATGGGAATTGGGATATAGACTAAACAGGCCAGGGATATTGGAAGTCCCTTGATCATCTGGTCCAGCAGACTTTCTGAAGCCATCGCACAGTATATGCTTGGGCCTTTTTCCAAGCTGTATATCTCTGGAGAATAGGAGCCAGACTACGAAATCCACAATCTGGACAAGCAAGTTAGTGATCGTCCACGTTAAGAATACACAATACTAACCTCACTCTGAGAGAACACAGATCCTGCGATTCCATCTGATATACTAACATAGGACTCATCCTCCCTCTGAGAGAACACAAGCCATTGCTCCCATCGTGTGTCGTTCATGGGAGTCTGCTGGTCGGCAAAGCAAACAAGCGATGTATCAAGCAGTCGCGACAGCGTCTTTTCTATCTCTCCAGCACCTTCGCTTTCACCAATAGATGCTACCTTTTTCCTTCGAAGACGAGAGCCGTTGGGCAGATTAAGCAGGACATATTCTCTTAGGGTAGTGACTTTGTTGTAACAACGCTCCAAGAGGTCGCGCCTCACGGGCGTGTCACTTAATGTTTTGTTGCATTTTTTGTTACTTGACGCGTCGGTGGCTTCATGCTTCCGTTTTCCTTGAGATGTCATTATTTCGGAACATTGGTGAGTCGCTCATTTCGCGTCTGATGTTATAGAAGATCGTCAGTTTAGGAAATATCACAAGCCACAATGTCTGTAGGATTCAAGATGTGGCGGAGGATCTGCTGTGGCTATGTTGCGCTTTCCTGGATATAGACTAGCGTGGGAATAGCGTAGAGCGATCCCAGGGGGGACACAAATAGTGGGTGTCCAAGCGTTCTATCCATCAAACTAAGAGACACCACAAAAAAAGAAAAGGCAACTCATCCTATTTGACAGCAAACGATTTCTTCATGCATCCGTGCCCAATTGCTGATGCCATACTTCGAGCAGCTTTCTTTTTATAATCTCCAGTTTATCAGGTCGACCAAAACTCTTTAAATTAATTGAAGGAAGATATGTACCTTGAATAACTGAAAACCTCCGTCACCTTTCTCACCGTGGACCCCTGGTACAGAAAGTGGGTTATCTTTACCCGCTTGCGCAGGTACAAGGCAAGGGAAGCACAGAAACCTGATGGACATGATGCACCTGACACAATAGGTGGGCAGTGGGAAAGGTGACTTGATGGTGATGCAGACGTGATAGTGTATGTACGTAGGTATTACTCGTTAAAGCACTGTACAGCATCCAACGTGGTACTACGATGCAGGAACGGGAGGCACGGAGAAAACATGTGCAATCTTCCTCGAGTAAAAGTGATAGACGAGAGACAAATCGCTGTCTTGTCTTGTCTTGTCTGTCCGGATGATGTGATCGGCTAAGATGTGACAGCATTGGCAAGGGACCCCAGATCTTCAGCTATATCCTAGGATCATATAGCGAAAAAGCAACGAAAAGGATCAGATGCAGATGCAAATGCAAATGCAGACATTTCTTTGATCAAACCTGGTATTGGAAATAAAGTGTCAGCGGTGGATCTCTTTTGTATCTCAGCTCTCAGCCTTGGATGCAAAGAAACCCACATGGTCCAGTTTACATACGACCGAGTTGTTGCACCATCTCCTCAAGTATGGAGATGGGATGATAGACAAATCAAGGCGATGCCGAATAGACCTGAAAAGTTAAAGGTCAGAATAGAAGGGACAAAGACTCGAATTTATCTACTCTCGTTTATCTTGGTCAAGTTAGATCTGCGTACGAGGATTATTTACTTATGGTATGACCGACACGCAAAAGGAAATGAGATAGAGAGAAAGAGGCGAGAGTGAAGAAGCACAACAGAGGAATGAAAGACTGGTATCCGTAAACGAATTGAGTAACACTGAGTGGGTATAAGGCCAAGGCCAAGGCAAGCATTTGTTTCCCCTTCGTGTTAATTATCTGAACTGTAGGTAGGTTGCAACAGAATCCTGGGCGGGGATCCCTTGCCAAAGATTAGTACAGAGATAGATAGATGCGAAAGATTGGCGAAACAGCCGCCCATTAAGTTAAGCCAAACACAATAAACAACGCCAAAAGAGCTACTGAAAGTTAAAATTGATTATAGTTCAAGGGGTCTAGAGTCTCAGGACGAACTGTCCAACGGTGAATCGTCTGGCGGTTATCGCAATTACAGTGAATATCAATAAGAACGAAATTGACTGCACAAGCCCATAGGATAGGAATTGAGGCTGCTGGATCGTCTGCCACACGAAACGATTCGTGGATTGCAAGGCTAGCAACAAGACAATGCATTGATTGGATCGCAATAAACCCCTGATGATACTGTACTGTACTTGAAGAGAAGAGGACACTTTTGATGTATGTATGCAGTCTACTAGAGTAAGGTCTTTCTTTTTCTTGTCCGATTTGTTGGTATGATCTTGTTTCGAAAACCAACTATTTTCTAGTAATTGTTTATTATTATTTATTTACTTGTTCATTTATGGATTGGGCCATTACCGGGTTTTAAGACCAATGTCGCAGCTCATCCGCTAATAAGAAACGAATGGTCTCGAATCTTGGAACAAGTAGGACTGGGGCGACTCGGGAATTGGCGCAAAGGAGAAACACTGAATGTTCCGACTCGTCAAGGCGCAAATAATCTCAAGTTACTCCCGTCGATTACCTAGTACAAAGAGTCATACAAGAAAAGAAGCAAGCAGAGAAACATGCACACAGACACTTTTCTTGCACAATCTTGGTACTATGCCCGTCATTGGGCTGTAAGTGCAAATATAGTTCTGTAGATACAGTAAGATGGAGGGATGCTTTCTTTTTTAGACTGTCCTGGGCGGCCACAATTGGCGGCCCTCCATCTCCATCTCCATCTTCATTGAAACGGTCTCACTCTTGAGCTAGTCTAAGAGATTCTTCATCGGCTCCAATAAACTGCAACATGCAGAAAGAACATGCAGAGAGATAAAGAAATGTCTTTTTATTATATTGTAGCAACTGCAAAATAATAAGGGACATTGTATCTTCTTAATTGATGTCCCTGGATCTACGCTCCAGTAATCAAAGATCCGCCGCCTGCTCCAGGTAGAGCTCCACCAAGGAAGTTGCCGCCCCATATTCTCAAGTCCGCGCCGCTGCGCTAGAGTTTTAGTAGGTGTCCGCTGTAGCTGCTACTCTCGACCGCCATGGACAACCCGAAACTCCCCTGGACTGTCTGTTGCTATTTTGTACTGTACCTCTCGAGATCCATATCTATCCCAATCCCAGTTTTTCTTCTTCCGATCCTTGCAACCAAAACCATTGGTCTTGTTTCTTCTATCCCGTAACTTTGTTGCTGTTTTTCTTGTCGAATCGTCATTCTGGCCATCTCGTCTTCATCTTCGTTCTCGTGTGATCTCTTTTCCCCCCTCTCGTGAAGCAATTCCATCTTTTAGACCCCTATTTTCTCCCTTTCCAGGGATCATCCCACACTCGAGCCTCAATACGACCCGCTCACTCTGTGCTGGCTACCTATTGTGCTTGAGCTCTGGGCTTTGTTGTCTGCTCCATAGTCCAGCAATCCCAGGCAGGCTTGATCTCTCTGTACCGTACCGTACTAGACTGTACAGTGGAGGTTCAGCTGTCAGATAATTCTCTTCTCGTCCGGACGTGCTCTGATCTGCTCTGCTCTGCACATGCAGCTTTGTCCACGCTTCATTTCGCTGTAAGCTGCATTGCAGCTCACTATCTCCCCAAGCATCTCCGTCACCGTTGCATCCATACCCAAAAAGTCCGTAGGCAACTTGCTCGGGTCTGCAATTGCAGCAAGCAACGACTCGGAAACGGTTGATCCCACCAAAGAGTGCCCACTCCCTCCCGTCCCCTAACCTAACCTGACATAACATTCAAACCAGGGACCGAGTGCCCCATCTCGTCGCTCAAAGGCTCAAGCTCACTCGCCCACGGATGGATCCGTGAGCCTGTGAGAGCCATTGGCATTCTTCTACCCCTGGTAATTGACTAGGTAGCCTCTACGGTACGGTACTGTGCAGGCCCATTTTCATCTGCATCTCTGCCATCCTGTATCGAGACTACAGCACAGCGCAGCACCCTCACACCTATCGAGTGTGCCTCTCGCCAACGCCCGCACCCTCTAAACGCCAACGCATCGATGCTCGCTGCATGGGTCTATAGTCCCCCGACCAGTCGCTCCGCTCGACGAGCCTGACCGATGCTCAGGCCACCATGGACCACGACATGGACATGGACCTGGCCCTTCACGCGGGCCTCCAAGCGGACATACAGGACGTAGACTCTGGTTTCCGAAACCCCAATCTCGAGCCTCACCACCTCTCCAACCATAATCACAACCACAATCACAATCACAATCACAGGCACCAACGTCAACAATCTCACGATCACGACTACGACCGCCGCATCGATCGCGATACCGATTCTTTACCCCAAGCCTACCTCCACGACCAGGTGCCGACCGATCACTCTCACCACCAAGATTCTTCTTATCCCGCTACTCCTGCATCCCATTTCGACCACAGCGGCCTCTACTCCCACGCTCCTGTGCCGCACCCCGACGACCACAACTCCCATCCCACGGGCGCCCATCATGCTTTCAACCCCGTAAATCCAGACGATTTCTACAAGAGCTATCGTGCAACGAACCAAAATAATACAGAGTCACCTTCTGTGGCTGCTGCGGCCCCGCGTCCGTCATTGCGCTCTAACGGTAATGGCTCTACACCAAAACATCCTGTTATTTCTCAAACACATACAAACATGCGTTCAGCGTCGAATCCTGTCGACAACAGATCTGCCCTCCCGGGCTACAAACCTACAGGAACTCACCCCAGCGTGAGAGATTTGAAGAAGCGGTTCGACCAAAACGGTGCTGCACCTTCATCGATCCCCCGAGCTCCAGCGCATATGGGAGCTGCAGCTAAGACTCGGCATGATGGTGCCGGTCCACAACCGCGAAATGGTGGAACGGGTTACTCGGCTTTACGTGATGGCAGCAGCACTTTTAACAAGCAAACGGCTTCCTCTTCAGCTCGTTCTCAAAGATCAAGATATGTTGCTGAGGACCAGGTCTCGAGTAATTCTCAGTCTTTCGCAAGTCGTATAGGGAAACCACGAAATGCGGCTAGCGGAAACTCAAATGCCTCCAAGTCTTCTTCCAACTTGGCACAAGAGGCTCCACCACAACAATCGACTTCCTCTTCCATCTCCCCCACATCTTCGCGTTCTCAAGGCCTACTGTTCGGCGAGATTCTTCCCGATCAGTATAATTTTTCAGCCCTCGGTTATGGCATTGAGGGCGTCCGCCCAAGGAGGACTTCCGAATCGAGCTTGTATCATCCCTTCAACCATCAAAGAAGCCTATCTGATCCGCCAGATGTCGCCGACCTTACATCTCCGGATATCTGGTACCGTAGCCTCAACGGCGACGATAACAACAGTCAACCGCCTCAAGTTCGAGCCCCTCGTCAGAAAGGCCACGCGCGGTCACGTAGCGACATACCTAGGTCGCCTTCAGTGCCTGCTGCGTCCCGCGAGACGCCTTCTCGAAAACCGACCACCAATAATACAGCTGGAGCTGGATCATCTTCCAAGCTACCACGCTCTGTCAAGAAGTTGAATAGTTCAAGCGATTCGGCGCCGTCCACACGCTCGAATTCTCCTAATCTCAAAAGACCACAGGTTAATGGCCGGACATCGAGGGCGGAGACACCTACGACTGCATCAAGGGCGAAGACCCCAACTACATCAAGGGCGAAGACTCCGACCACGACAAGGGCGAAGACTCCAACAAGAGCCAAGACACCCACCCAGAGCGGCGCTGCCCGAAAACCGGCACCCCGAAACCTCGTTACGCCAACGAATAACAATCGTCTCCAAGCCAACATTATTGCACCTCCTCCGAAGCTCTCCCCTCCGCTTAGGAGTTCTCGGCCTCGTCAGCCTGTGTCCGTGGCCACAACAGCAAGCTCACGGATGAGGACGGTGGAGAGAGCCAGGTCGCCAAATCCGGGCTCTGTCCCACCGTCCAGGATTGCCGAACCATCCTCACGTCGTGGAAAGATAGCTATAGGGCCAATCGATTTCGAACAGCGACGAGAACATATTCGACTGGCTTATACCAAGTCCATCCGCGACAGCCAGGTGCTTGAAGCACGACAAAAGGCGGCAGATCGAAGGCGAAAGGAAATGGAGGCTGCCGCCGAGGCAAAGGCTGCTAACGCCGCTGGCGCTACATCCTCACTCGCACATTCGCCATCCATAACTTCAGAATCAGGCGGTGCAGACTTACAAGATCTCTCCGACATTCCTCCAGTCCCGCCTCTTCCAGAAAGTCACCAACCAGTACCGGGAGTACCAACTGTTCAACCGCCGGTTTCGAGCCCGGATCTTCCGCATGCTGTGCAAGTTCAAAATGCGTTGAATGCGATTGACCAAGCAGATGGTCCGGTTTTCTCGGATGGCTACGATGCTTCATATGGACAGATTCCTGCCGATCCGCTCCGGCAACCTACACCGTTCATTGACGATCCAACGATGAGTCCCGTAGATATCGCGATGTCACTGCCACCCGCTTCGCTCATGCTATCTACCAGCTCTCAGGCAACACCCACCGCTGAGCCATCGAAAAGTGACTTTGATTCACCCACGCTTGGCGTTCCCGGTAGCTTCCCTGCGCTCAGCCCTCCTATTGAGATGTCAGAACGACCTTTGAGTATAGTTTCGGCAGCATCAGAAACAACAGAGTTTGATAACGAACCCCAAACGACTCCCCCAAGGTCTGCGCAAACACCACTTCAGGTTCCCATCACAGTTGTCAAACCGCCTACTCCGCAAACTCAGAAAGCTGCGTCTCCTCCAAGAGCGGAGTATCAATACCCATTCGAAGACGACCCTGATTCACCGGTTCGACCAAAGCCTACGTCAGTAGCGCTTCACGCAAGTGAACATTCTTCATCTGGACATCATATTGCTGACGAGCTTGTAATTCCTGGTTCATTCGGTGCCAGCCTCGACGAAGATGACAGCCGTCAAAATGTCCAATCTTCTTGCGAAACCACAATAACGATTCTGCCGCCTAGTGATGATTCACGACCGATCAGCAAGCCCGAAGAAACGGTCCCTTTCCCAAGGATAGAGCCTGACTATGAATCAGACTGCCAGTCTGATTCGGAATACGGTGAACTGCAGAGACAGTATCACCGTTCCCATGACGACGATGCTGTCACCGACTGCTGCACTGAGGATATGGACGATGAAAGTAGGAAGGGCTGCAGATCCGAGGCCCCATCTGATGATCGAGTCTCATCACACCGGGCTTCTACCTGTGAATCTATTGACACTAACGAGCGGCAATACACTTTCGATGACCACCAGCGCCCTGACTCTACAGCAAATCTTATGGTACCGGCTTTGTCTGCGCCTAATAGAACCAGTCAGCAATCAACATGGACGGACTTTTCTGTAAACAGTGGAGATGTGTCGCCAGCGGTCCGGTCATCAGTATTCACCGACATCGACGACGAAAATGACACGGGGGATCACGGCCATGTCACAATCTTTGAAACGACATCTATCCATAGAAACAGCCGGCCTACCAACCGCCCTCCGGAGGTTCGCAACAGTCAACCAGAGCCCCGCCCTTCTGTTGATTCAACCCGGTCGCCGTATCTCGGTCACCAGCTCCCTGAGTTGAACACTGGGGATGATTTCTCAATTCCTTACCTCTCCAACAGAGCCAGCAAGAGTTTCTCGTATTTCCCGTCGCCCAATCACGAGCCTCCTCCTATTCCAGCATCAACATCCGGCTCCGCATGTAACTCGCAACGAGCATCTGGTGTCTACTATGACCAGTCGCAAAGCGGAAGCACATTTGTCAATTCGGAACGAGGCTCGGAAGATTACATACCTATGATGACGACGCCTCAATCAATGGATAATGCATCACTGTCAACAGGCAATCAGTACTTCGCCGATGCAGCTACTTTGAACGGAGACGCTGCCTCCGAAACAAATGATAAGCAAGGAATAACAGAAAAGGAGAGGCAACGGCTTACCCAGCGTCGCAACATTTTGAAGGAACTCGTCGACACAGAAGCTGTTTTCGTGCGCGACATGAACATTGTAGAAGAGATCTACAAAGGTACAGCAGAAGCTTGCCCGAAACTCGATGCTACCACTGTGAAGCTCATTTTCCGAAACACGGACGAAATCATCGCATTCCACACAGCATTCTTTGCCCAGATCAAGGAGGCGGTCCTTGCAGTGTATGCCATGCAGGGAAGGCGATCGGCTCTCGCCAGGGAAGGCTCCATGATGTCGGAGCCTTCACAAACTAATCCCGCCGATATCGATGATACCAAGGATCGTACCGTTCAGATTGGACCTATCTTCAAAGCTAACATGGAAAGTATGAAGCTGGCTCATGAAGGGTTTTTGAGAAACAGTGATGGAGCAGCAAAGCGACTCATTGACATACAAATGGATCCTACGGTCAAGGTGTGGCTTAATGAGTGTAATGAAGTTGCGAAAGACTTGACAGCCGCTTGGGATTTGGACTCCCTCCTGATCAAGCCTATGCAGCGCATTACTAAATACCCCAACCTTATCGGAACGTTGTTGGTTCACACTCCAGAGGACCACCCTGACCGTCAAAGTCTTCTGGAGGCTAAAACCCTACTTGAAAACTCCATAATCGAAATCAACAAGACGAAGAAGAACTTTGAATTGGTTGGTCAGATTGTAGGCAGAAAGCGAAAGGAATCCGATGTCAAAGCAGGGTTCGTACGAGCGTTCGGCAAACGAGTCGACAAACTTCAAGCGCCAGGTGCTCGCCAAATGGATGATACTGAGTATCAGAAACTTAACGAGAAGTTCAGCGATGACTACCTGCGCCTGCAAGTCGTTCTTCGAGATGTCGAATTCTACACGCGACAAGTGTCCGAGTATGTGCATGAGTTTTTGCGATACCTCTCTTCCATCGAGCTGGTTATGCGGCTTCAGCCTGGAAATTATCCTGAACTCGAAAGCAAGTGGGTACAGTTCAATATCTCAATACGGGATCTCGAAAAGGTTGCTCTCGAGGACCATGTAAGCAAACCTCATGGACCGCCTTTGTCACGCACACACTCACAAGTAACAGTTGACGCAAGTCCGAAAAACCGTCATTGAGCCCTTTGAACAAGTTATTAAGGCCTACGGCAACCCGTCATTGGCGATGAAAAAGCGTCAGAAGCGGCGGGTTGACTTTGAGCGCTACGAGCAATTGAAGCGAGCAGGCAAGAGCATCGACGGGAAACTTAACGAGCAGGTCGAGCAGTACGAGGCCTTGAACGATACTTTGAAAAAGGAGCTTCCTAGGTTGTCTGGCTTGACTGAAAAGGTGGGCCACATTTGTCTGGCCAATCTTGTCAATATCCAAACGACCTGGTACGGCATCTGGAAGGACAAGATGAAGGTGGTACTTGGTGACTGCCCTGACACGCCAGATCTTAAAGAAATCGTGGCAACCTTTAATCGGGATTTCCCGTACGCTCAAGAACAGCTGGCCAGTGTTGGTATTCTTAACCCTATGTACCGAGGTCGGGTTTCGCAGTCGACCACAAGGAGTACCGACGAATCATCTTCCCTTAGGATGAGATCGCGTCCATCTGAAAGTGATTCACGAGGTCGAGGCCATTCAGTGAGCAGCGAGAAGGTACCAAGTGTCCCAACTCAAGACTTCACAAAGCGTAACAGTGGCTCCTACACATCGTCACCTACTGTGGTTACGGCAAGCAACATTCCCAGCCCACACCAGTATTACTACCGCGACCACTATGCAGGTATCAACAATCACCAGCAAGGCACGGCATCTCCTATATCCCCAGAGCTCGCAGGCAGTACGCGGTCTTTTGCTGCCTCGACAAGACCAAGCACAGGGCGAAGCTTCGATTCTGGCGGTGCTCCACGCCAAAGTTCAGACTCAGCTACACAGCAACTTCGAGACTCACAAACTACTTATAGTTCTCACAACCAGTCTCAGTCTCAGGAAAGCCGGCGGTTCTCCGGGCTTTTCCACTCGGCATTACCGCCGGCTGATGGACCTGAAGACAGTGCTCGATCTTCCCGAGCTTCGTCCAGAGAGCGGGCGCCAGTGGATGACGGGTATAACGTGCTTTGGCTGGCTGCATCGCTCTTTGAGTTCAACATTGCTACGACAAAGCATGAAGCTGGTTACCCATACCTGGTGTATCAAGCTGGCGAGGTAAGAAGAATTGCAAATCAAACGGTCGTGAGGGTCAGGTGCTAATTGATACTCTAGATCTTTGATGTCCTTGGCGAGAAAGGAGAACTCTGGCTAGCGAAAAACCAGGACGATCCGGACGATCGAGTCGGGTGGATTTGGTCCAAGCACTTTGCCAGACTTGCCGATTCATAAGCACAGCTTAAGATTAACCCAAGTCTCGGCATGTTGAACCCTCAACCAGTTTTATTTTTCGACGACTGAACTAGCAACGCATCAGACCCATACCAGGATTCAAGACCGGAGCTTCGGCGTTTATTGCACGGACTTGCAATTTGGACCTACACCAACTAAAGAGGCAGATCGATCATGGAAGTCATCCACGTTTGTTTGCATCTTCGGCCTTTCTCTTTCACGACTTACCTTTCTTGCCCTTCCTTTGATATTGGCTTCCGTTTATTCTGGAACTTGGCATTCACCTATGTGTTAATCGATTCAGCTTTCATTTGTTTGGACTTATTGTTTTTGTATTAGCTTTTCTCATTGTCCTCGGGGGAAGGGTCGGAGCTATGAGATGGAAGGCGAGGCACAGCTCGAGGACGGTTGTTTTAAGGGAGGGAGCCCGGCGTTCAGAACAAAATACCAACAGCGTATGTAAGATTTCGGATGTGAGAGATGCAGGAATAAAGAAAGAAGTTATGCGGGCAGGGCTCGCACTGCTATGAACATTACATTTTATTACTGTTTGTGTTAGTAGAAGAGATGGAAAGATTTGTTGATTAGTGAATGAAACACCAGGAATACATGACTAAATGTTACTCTGTCAAGCCTCGTCAAATAAGAGCCGTAAAACGGTTGTTCTTTTCGATTGAGTTAGTCCGCATATCTATGTAAATTGATTTGCTGAAGACTATTTATGAGAGAGTACTTTTGGTGTTTTCAACGTCTAACATGTGACGCTGCACTAAGCGAAGCTAGGGAGGAAAGGTCCGCTACTGCCCCGTCCAAGCTTCCATCGATCCCCCGCGCTTGCAGTAGGTAAGTAGATGTCCTATGTAGGTAAGGAAGGGAGTGCATGCTCACACCTTCCTGGATTGAACCTATTTCATGGCTGCTTACTACCTCTATTATTAGCGTAGATCAACCGGCAATGGATCTCCAAAGCTGGCTTCTCTTCCTCTTCCATACATAATCTGCGCTTAACATCCCTTAGGCATGTTCCCAATGCCACTCGCACATTCTGCCAAGTCTTTCGCTTGACTTCTACCCCTGGCAGAACAGAAAGCTTCGCATAAAGGTACCGTCAACTCTGTTCCATGACCCACATTACACGCCATGCCCGCGACAAGCTCGCCGGAAGAGCAGGCAATCGATCGCGAGTACCCGCACCAGCAACGGCGGCATCAGCATCATCGTCGTCATCAGGAACTTGATCCTGAACAGGCGCAATCTAATTTCCGCGACTCCAACCACAACGAGACTGAACTTGACAATCAACAGAATCAAGGCTTACAGTCGCAACAGCATTATCATCATCATCAGAATTCATCTCGTTCGCATACTATTCAGTCTAATACTCGTCTCGAGGTCCCATCTGTACATGGTGTCCGCTCCACTTCACCTTCGTCGTCTATTTCGGCTCTACCGACGCCTTCGATATCTCCTTCGGCCTCTGCCGTATCCATTGACGCACCCTATTCCTCTCGAGATCCTTCATCGCCCATTCAAACTCCCTCCTCGACGAGTGCTGAGGCTCACGGTAGCCATCCTCAACGAGACTCCTCCGAACATAACAACTCAGAGCGAGATAGCGCGGACAGCTATAGCTATATACGCCAAGGGCGCAATTTGCCCAACATGGCCACCTGGTCGGGACAGCCTGCTATCAGAGGCAACTCTGAAGCAATGCGCATGATTCTATTAAGTTTTGTTACCATTGGCATAACGTACGTTTACCCTGCAAGTCTCTGCGATATGACAAACAATCAATCAATACTCTAACATTCATTCACTCAATTAGCTTCACGTGGGGTATCGAGATGACTTGTATGTGTCAAATTACAGTATACTTTCATAATTATGATCACTAACACTTCATCAGATTGCACACCGTATCTGCTTAACCTTGGTCTAACCAAAAGCAACACTTCGCTGGTGTGGATTGCTGGCCCTCTGTCTGGCCTTGTAGTTCAACCTGTTGTGGGCGTCATCGCAGACGAAAGCAAGTCCAAATGGGGGCGTCGACGGCCGTTGATGGTCGTTGGCTCCATCGTTGTTGCTATCAGCCTCTTGATTTTAGGCTTCACTCGTGAGATTGTCGGTTTCTTCGTCAGCGATGAGGAGGCTGCGAAGCGACCCACGATCGTACTGGCTGTACTGGCCATCTACGTAGTTGATTTCGCTATCAATGCTGGTATGGATTTTCCTATAAGCTGAATGATTAAAAACTAACATGACCCAGTAATGTCGTGTTCAAAAAGCCTTGTCGTCGATTCTTTACCGATCGAAAAGCAACAGTCGGGAGCGGCTTGGTGTAAGTCGTCAAGTATTGTTTTGGTTTGGGTGTAAGTTAACGTCCGTTTCCACAGCAAGCCGCATGTCATCCATTGGCCATATGATCGCATATGGAGCTGGGGCTGTCGATCTTGTAAGCCTCTTTGGGAAAACCCTCGGCGATACCCAGTTTAAGCAGCTCACGGTTATCTCAACGATTGCACTTTTGGGCTCAACGGCACTCACATGCTGGGCCGTTACAGAACGTGTCCTGGTAACGTCCAAGCCTGCCAAACATGAGGGTCGCTTCCAGGTCTTCCGCCAGATCTGGTCGACACTGCGGAACCTGCCACCTCGTATACAGGCTATCTGCTGGGCACAGTTCTGGGCTTGGATCGGTTGGTTTCCCTTTCTCTTCTACAGTACTACATGGGTGGGTGAAACGTACTTTCGCTACGACGTACCAGCCGATGCCAGGAAATCTGAAGATACCTTGGGTGCCATTGGTCGCATAGGAAGCACCGCGCTCGTCATGTACTCGATGATCACTTTTGCGGGTGCTTGGATCTTGCCTATGTTCATTCAATCACCGGAAGATGACGCCTTTACACATCGACCTCCTCAAGCCATTGCAGGCTTTTTGACACGGTTCAACAAGATGAAGCCTAGCCTTTTGACAGCATGGGTGTTTGGTCATTTGATGTTTGCCGCGTCCATGGCCTTGGCGCCTTTTGCAACGAGCTTCCGGTTTGCAACAGTTCTAGTGTGTCTTTGTGGCATGTAAGTTCAGCCCATACTCAATTCCATGGACGATGTTAACAGAAGATTTAGACCGTGGACGTTGGCCATGTGGGCTCCAAGTGCTTTTCTTGGTGTTGAAGTCAATAAGATGAGCGGAGAGACAGGAGCAGATGGTTCCTATCGCCGTATTTCCGACGAACCCGATATCGAGCTATCTAGGATGAATCATGACGATGCGCCTTTGCACTTAGATCATGGCTCGGAAGTAGACCTACCTTCTACAGCTTCCACGGGCGAGCTGTCAGGTATCTACTTCGGCATTCTCAACATTTACACGACCCTTCCGCAATTTGTGGGCACATTCATTTCAACCATCGTTTTCGCGATTCTCGAGCCTGGTAAAAGTCCCGAACTAGCCGACGATGCTAAGAAGCAGCCAGATCCAGATGGCCCGAACGCGATTGCGGTGTGCTTGTTCATTGGAGCGATGAGCAGTATAGTTGCGGCATATGTGACGCGAAAGCTAAAGGTTATGTGATGGATAATTTTAGACCAAAGAGTCTCCTTGTACAGTTGACCTTGTTTGTTTATGTGGCTGATTTGTGTATGATGATGGTGTTGGCGCAAACACGGTGAGTATAGATTTGGGATTAAATGAAGTCATACGAAGCCTTGGATAGGTATATCCGTTGTAAAATACCTGACGATAGCGATATACACATCAAATAGATATCGTCATAAATTGCTCGCTGAATGTAGTTGGGATATCGAGTAATTGCGACCACGCTATTCATATACAAGTCACCAAGAAAAGATATCGCAAGGGGTATCCTTAACAACTCCGATGCTACCTCTTACTCCTATGCCGCCAACACCTTGATAACAGCTCATGTAAGATTGTATAGATATCACCATGTACGTTGACCAGTGCATGCATGCACTTTATTTGTCCTTCTCGTTCTCGGCCTCCGAAACCTTCTCCCACTCATCCTCAGTGCTAACGCTCGATTGCGTCCCTGTTGTACCACCACGCTGCTTCACCTCACCCTTTGACTCGAGGGGCTCGAGTCCAGCGGCGGCGGCGACTACTTGGGAAGTTGCAGCAGCATCGGAGACTACGGGAGGCGCCTTATTCGGAGCCGGTGTCTCGACCTCTGTTTCGCTATCGTCGTTGTCGCCATTTCCCAGTGCTTCCTTGTTCAGTTGCTTTTCCTTCTCTTCTTTTTCACGCTGCTCACGCTGCGCGATAGCCAGCTCGGCAGCGAACCAATTCACGCTCCACCACAGACCGCCGCAAAGGATGGACAGGATGACGCAGTGGATGTTGTATGTGGCCAGCAGAAGGCAGAAGAGGACGAACTGGAGAGCGGCGAAGGAGGCGTTGGCTGCCTTGAGGATGGTGGGTGTTGGGCCTGGGGTGAAGATGTCTTCCCAGAGCTTGACGATGAAGGATGACATGGTTGATGATGTATCGCGGGGTCGTTATTGACAAGGGGGAGTTGATTGTCGCGCGGCAGGTGTGTGTAGTAGGTAGATATTGGGACTACTGTAGGAGCAATAGTATGCTTTATCGCGAAGATGTTGCGATTTTGTTTGGTATGTAACGAGATGAGGCAGGCTATTACTGTGGTGTCTGTTTTTTTTTTCCTTTTCTCTTTTCGGTTCGACGTCGTATTTTCGCTTCGTCTTGTTTAAGTAAGGACAGAAGCGGTCGCTGCCTGGCGACCACTGTACAGTTTGCGAATAAAGTAGCCCAACCAGCTTCGTCCGAGTGTTCTGATCGATGAGAGGACAGTTGTTGTCGTTTTGTGAGTGAATTACTGTCCTTTTCTCTTTGTGAGAAAGAGGTTTTGTGCTTATGTTGTTGTATGTATCGTAGGTAGATGCAATGACGACAAGTGGTTGGTTCTTAGGCCGTGAATGACCCAGATCGCGTGCCAGGCTCTTATTGGATTACATAAGTCATTGCTTTGGAGATCTGGTGTTCAACATGATGACCTCGTGACTGCGGATGACGATAAAATTATTTGTATTACTTGAGAGGAAAGAGATTGAATTGTTCTTTATGGTCATGGGTTTGGTATGGCGTTTGTTATCTCTTTGTGCGTTTGAAAGGTTCTATTCAAAGTCAAATGCATCACAAATAGCCCCAACAATCATCCGCAGAATCACCACTTAACGTATCACCTAATCTGCTGTATGGCATCAACACAGCACTGGAACAGAATGCATTAATTATTCACGCAGCAGACCATAAAGATATGCATCTGAAAGATCAATATGCTCTCCCAACCTATGGTCGGGCTGATGATTGCCATTACCTATCTCGAAGTTGACTTACCCTGTACTATATCCAGAACACCACGCAAACTTCTCGAACATCATCGTCGAGAGTTCTGCAAACTCTATCTTTGTAGCCCCGAGAGATGCGACAACCCCTAGCAGGAATATATGAGTCTGAATTGTTCGCCAAATTGTAGTTGTGTGGATGAAAGATCAGTTGACGGACCAAGATGAAGTGCCACAACCAACACCACCCTTTCAACTCAACCGTGAAACCGTATACTGACACAAACATACCCAGCAATTCAAACTAAACAAACAGCTTGGGCCATCTAAAGAGATTGTTTCAATCTCATCTCAACTTGGTCTATGGTCGTTGCATGACACGTGAGTTCACCGACAGAGACCCAGCCATGACATGGTTATAGCACCATACAATTACCGACTGTTAAGCAGATTAGGCCTATCAAACAGAAACAACCTAAATCCAACTAGGTCCGCCGGTTTGACGTGCTTATGGGCGGAATCTCCCGTCTGATCCTGATCCTTCCACCGTGATCCTGATACTGCACACAGCCTTGAAAAGGCATAGACCCCTCAAGGGTCACTACCCATCTTGTGAGAGGAAAGAACCACAGCCACCCCCGTGAAATCCATACGTAAGAGGGCCAACTCTGGTTCGACACGTTAGCCGCCGGGTCATCAATTTGAGCGAGGATTAGCATCAGTGCAGCAGAGGCTAAAGCCTCCAACTTGGCCCCCGTCGACCTGCATCCAGCCACCTGGGATACTGCATGGCACCGGGCCAGGTTCCGCCTTGCCACTGTTCGAATAAGGGTTCGTTCAAAAGTCGAGACTCGATCTTGTGGGCATGGAACAGAAAGCTGCGGCCGTTGGAAGGAAGAAACCCCCGAAGGATTCGAGTCGGTGGTTCTTCTCGACCCACCCCTCTCTGGTTGGATCGTACTGCAGAGATGGGTAAAAGGGAGAGAAGAGGAAAAGGGGTCAAGAAATCAAAGACCTGGTATAGAGAAGGATATGTTCGGTAAGGATACCGAGACCCTTTTGCCGTTATTGTTGAGTCGATGACTTGCCACTGTGGTCTCAGATAATTATCGTCACTCGCATATGTGCATCATATAGTTGAATTCAGTGGCAAAACACCGAATAAACGTTGCAAGCGCATTGAATCTGATACTGGTGGTGCAGATCTTCCTAGAAGATAGAGTATCATCACATCAGGCAACTTTTCATCTGAAATTTGAGATCCAAGCTCCTTGATTCTCGATGCTAGAACCAGGTTAGGCGTTCTTCAGATGCTATATCTCAAACTTGATGGAGCATTAAAGCTCCTTCCTCCCCTTAAACGTGGGTTCTGCACTCTTCGTCCCATCATAGAAGTTTCAAGAGTCCAGGTGTAGATCGACAGGAAGAGCGCAATGCCCATTATGGCAACAAGGTGACTGCCGGCCAATTCCACTAAGATCTCCAAGATAGTTTCAACGCATGGATTCGATCCTGAAGGAGCCGCCTCACAGCTCTCTAAAGAAGTTGCCCTGACATTAGATTAGCATTAGTCGGAGCCACAAGTGTCAATGTTGATGAGCAGGAACAGCTTAGTTTAGTGTATTGCACACTGACCGCACAAATGTTCTTCAAGTGTTCTTTGAGTGGAGGCCGAGGAAGCATGTGTAACCGGGTCTTGTCGGATAGTAGGATCTAGCAAGCTTCAAGTCCATACTGCGGAGACTTAGCATTTGTCCTCGATATACTGTACAGCTAAGGATGTCCCAACACTCAACGCCAGGGGCGAGCGTGAGTCTGCCAAAATCCCAGACAGGCTAAGAACTTGACATATTTCGCTTGCATGCATGATAACGAATTGGCGTCAGTGCCCTTGGCAACAACAACTCATGGTACGCATCCTTCTCTCAGAGAGAGCGAAAATGGAATTCGCACATCAGGTGTTTCACTAAACAACACTGCCTCGCGACTCATCAGATGTAGGAAATACCTCATCATATTTGTGAGTGTTATATTGCAATTTGAGTATTGAAACAACGTGGTGGCTTGCAACGTTATGCTCGGGGATTAAGCACTGCGTAGCTCGGGACCGAGAAAATCAGCTGTGACTAGGATACTGGGTGATCAGCAAGACTGCTACCCATGCTGTTGGGTTGTCGTTGTGTACTGTACTGTACGACCAAGCACCCAGGCACCCCAGCACTTACACCACCACGACGGTTCGAGATCAGACATTTGAGGACGAGCTTAATCAGAACCCGACCTTCTGCGAGTCTTCTCTAGTGCCTGCTAAGGTTTTCCCGGCGCCGGAGCAGCCGTTAAGGCTAATGTTATAAGTATCGCGATGTACATGATAGCGTACAATAGATGGACATGGCGGTCATGAAACCAGACCAGGATCCTTGCACTCGAAATGATCGGGAGGGGGGTTGTGGTTTTGCTTTGACAGTGGACGTCAACGTCAACTAATGGGAACTAGTCGATCTTCAACACATGGCCAGCATGTGCCTCGAGTCTTCACTGCCGAGACCAGGTTAACGAACATGACATGGACAGCCTGTCGTGGTATTGTTTGAGACCCGGAATTCACCGAGTCAGGCCAGATGAGAGGTGTTGTTGCTTCTGGTAACAATGCACTTTAGCTTCATTTCGTCATTGCTTGGTATTGGAGGATTGACCGATGAAACTTGCAGTGCTGAAGACAGCACTCGAATCATAGCAGATCGGCGAATCGGGAGAATCACGGCCTGATAGCGTAGCTGTGATCTCCCCAGGCATTTGGAATATCACAGCTTCCAATCCAAGTTCAAGTCTGCCTTGCCCTGTGATTACCCTTACGCCCACCCTCAGACATCATGCACAGGCCCTTTAATTCCGAAAGGGCATCGATCGTCACCTAGGCAGCGACATAAATCAAACTTTGCCGGTTCTACGGGCTGCATTAATAGCTCCAGGTTAACTGAACACCCAGCTTGGCCCGCGTCAAGGCTCAAACCAAATGGAAGATCAAGCCAACATGTTTCGACCGGAGCATATCGCGGTGTGATCTAGTGCTGTAAGGGATCGCAGCCGTTTCGTTGATCTTTCCCCTAGGGCCTTTTCCGGGGAATTTCTATAGAGTCACGGAACCGTGGGCTGTCTGAAACATGCGTGGCGTCCTTGAAATGTGAGCGAATGCGTGTGCGAGTGCTCTTAGTTCGACGGCCCTCTGAGTCGGTGTCTTAGTTTTGGACTTGGTGTCAAAGGGTAGGGTGGGGATGCCGCGCGCGTAAGTTAGCTCAGTGATCACTGATCACTACTGGAGAACTAGCTTCAGATCAGACGTAACAGTTTTGAGATTGGTTCTTCACATTGTTGTAGTACATTTCTCGAAAGCCATTAGGCTCATTGCAAGAGGCAATTCTTGGCCCGTGGTTCTTGATAGATCCTCGACTTGTGCCGTACTCTTGCATACAGAACGGGCTGAGCTGTCTTGAGATGGCTAGCGTTGTCCCTAACTGGGTTGAAGCTTGGCACAGATCAACAGCTCATGAGATATTTGGATACATACAGTAGCCAAACCTTGAATATTCGTAACAGCAAAGGAGCAGAGAACCAAGTCCACAGACCAAGCTTATAGCGCCTGCTACATGGTGTCTTGGGCGTAACATTTCTCCACTGGCTGGATCAGTGCAGGAAAGCTCCAATAACCCGAGAAATATCTTGATATGCGATAAATGCTCTCAAAAAGCAAAGAAGAAAAGAAGAAAAGAAGAAAAGAACGAAAGCAACCAATGAACGGCAAAAGCTGGTGCAAGTTCTTCAAAATGAGATGGATCATGCTTGCTGGCTCAACGTGCTTTGATCACCATCTGAGCCCATATCTTGGATCGCGATATCGACAGAGACCCGTATGTCAGAATTTCTCGAGTATGCCATAGTTGACAACTGTGACAGTGACTGAGTACATGCGTATGTAAGATTTGATGTGAATGAGTGAGCTGCCAAGCAGGGGCCCAGTTGTATAGCTATTTTTGCAACGTTTCTTCAAACAAGCGAGTATGATCGCAAGAGGCTGTGTAATGCCCCAAGCGAATATCAGCAACACCGCCCATATAGCCATTGAATCTGAGTATTGAGCTCAGCAAGCTCAGCAGCCAAGTGTCGGAGCTTTGGTAGGTTCGCCCAGAAGAAGCTTCAGCCACATGCTTGAGATCGTAGGTATTGTTTGGGGGCTGAAATGGAGCAAAAACCCGCAGGTCATGAGCAACATGATGAAGTTTGCCAGCATAGACCTTGAAGCTCGAGAACTGGGTCCCTAGAGAGACAGTCGCATCTAAGGTTCCTTTGGGTTAAGCTGTAGTTCGAGTGAATTCTTCCGATTGGTTCCCGACTGTCGGGGGCCAAACGCTAAGGCTGTTGATCCACGTCAATGTCCTTTTGTTGCACTGCGCCTTTGTGGCCCAGGACGATCCCCGCTCTCTCTCCTGTTGGCAAGTTTTTGCGCGTCTGTGGTTGATGTAACATTGTCGATTGGGTTGATTAGACGCTCTCAGCGCCTCAGCCAATCACCACAAAGTCTTTACGAGCAGTTTGTTCACCAAGCCTAAACTGTCCAAGCCTTCCTCTGCTGTCGGATGAAGGTGGAGCTACCAGTTCAGCGTTACACCCGCCCAGGGCTGTCATGATGCATCGGTCCGATGCATGCTTGAGTCCGACATTTGAAGCTGTCATTCTGGTCAAAGAATCTTCTTCGGACTTGTTGATCTGCAAGTTGAAATCGACTCCGAGGGTTCCAATGACGATGGTGCACGTTGACGGTGAGTGAGAATGATGATGGGCGTTCTTGTTACTACGCAAAGACGGCCTGACACCGACATCGACATCGACACTGAGAGAGACCGAGAGCCAGAGATGGAGGGTATACGGATTCCCGGTGATTACCCGTTATGGAAGTCGACTTTGATAGACTTTCGCGCTTAATATCACCTACCAGCCCTGTGGTTGCTTGCATGAGCCTATTTTTGTCACCTGCGGCCTGTCTGCTACCAGTGCTGTGCTGTAGGTCTGGATGTACGTACTGCCACGATAGACCTGTGTACAGCAGGTCTTGAGAGTAATTGGATGGTAAGGTGCCAATGGGGGCGATTGTGTATAGTAAGCAGACAGACAGGCAGGTAGGCAGGCGAGCAAGTAATCGACTGAGGCGACTGGGGACCCCTCTTAGGGAAGGATGAAGAAAACGAAGCGATCATGGGGCTGTGCTGTGCGTGATAATGATACTCATCCGCGTTGACGATCCCAGGCTGTTGTGTTGCATTCTGTATCAAAGACATATGGCACCCTGTCTAGGTATGGGGGAGCGGGGAAGTTGCGAGAACGAAAGCGACCATGATAAACACGGACAGATTCAACAAGCGAAAAGGCCCTGGACGCTAAGGTGTCATGAGTGGGAAACTGCCGGGCTAAGGCTGTTACCTATCCCAGTTGATATGAATTAATTAACGTCCAAGGCCAAGAGTCGGCCGCCCATCGACAGGGCAGGACAGGGAGCAAAGGGAAGGAATGATAGAAGCCTAGCGAGCTTCAGTTCAGGGCCTGTCGCCATTCTAACCATTGCGCGGCAGCAGGGAATTAGGAAAGGAACAGGCGACAGGCATGGATTGTTCATCCTTCTAGCGCAGTGTCAGTTGGGTTGTGCCTGCCTGTCTGCCAATACCCGCGTCTAAGCATGTGGATGGAACGGATATCCGTTGTGCCTGCCCTACAGGTTGACAGACAACCTACAGCCCAGCCCAGTAGAGCGGACAGCACCCTACAGTACCCCTACATACCCTACCTTCCTAAGATACTTTCCATCCAACCTGAGTTGCTCCTTCCCGCATCGCTTGTTGAGACCAACCCATCCTGGGCGCCAAAAGCGGAAGGCGTCTACTACTCCTATGCACCCGCTTCTAGATTAGAGACTCGAAATGGCTACTCTGTAGCCAACATATCCACGGCACTGGTTTCCGCGAGTCATCCCGACTTATTCCACCACACAACGCGGCATTGAATTCAGCATCATGCCTAATTAACGGGCGCGTTTTTGAACATGAACCCCTGGTTCATCATCATTGCACCGCCCTCATTATGCTGTGTTGTGCTGCTACTGCTACAGTATCTGTAAGGTCACATCAGATGGGGATGCTTCCAACCACCCTCCCCCTTCCCCTCTATTTCTCTCCCTATACCACTGTGTTGTCGTTTTTCCTGATCCCTGGGTCGTCCATGGACCGCTCTTTCTCAACGTGAGCCCACGACCTTGGCCCTGGAATCGATTGCTGTCGACCCGCCATTCACTATCAACAGGCCTATTGGATTATTCTTGTTGCTCAAGGATAATTGCCCTACCGAAACACCCAGCTGGAACTTTCATAACGAACCATTCTTGGCAAATGGACAATTAGGCAAGCCATTCGAACTCTGTTTGAACCCCGTACCATGGCCGTGCTATTCCCGTCGCTAGCAAAGCTGATGGGTCTAGCTACCTACAATTGATGATGTAGATGAAGACTCAAAGTTGACGAGACTGCGTGGCCCTACCTGCAATGTTCCTGGGTAGCTGGGCCATCTGCGTGCCTGTTTCTTGGCGTTACGGGAACAGCATTCTATCCCGCCCTTTTTTGCACAGTCTATTGGGTCGAGACGCCGGCAAAACTATCTATGTCATTGGATTGGGCCTCAGAAAGGAAACGGATAACAAGTTGCGGTTTCCGCACAGCCAAGGAGATGGCTCCTTCCCGCCTATATCGACTTCTCACTCGTCGAGTGCGAACGGAGAAGCGAAGCGCAAGGATACGAATCCCACGGCTTTCTCAGGATTCTTCCCGCCTCTGTCGCCTCTGTACATACGTGCATCTCTGCTTCCAAGGAAACGTTCGATATATGTTGATTTGTAAACGTCAGTCAACTGCCGTCTGCAAAGCATAGCACACTGCTTGCGTGGCTTTTCTTTCTAACGTGTCCCGGAACATGCCCAAATGAAGACAAAAAAAAAACAAAAAAACGATACCTTCGGGACTTGATATGACAGAACAACGCCAACTAGGCGATAAAATGTCGACGATAACCGCTTCTCGGTCTTTGGACCACGAGACGCATACGCAGATATAGGCGAGCATTCGATTGATACCAAGTCACACAATCAACCCCCATACATAAACAGCCTGAAGCAGAGCAAATCATTGATGACTCTGACGTATTTTGGATCATGTCGCGCCTCTTTACCCTTTCATCGCTCGACAAAACTGGACTGGTCAGGTATTTCAAAATACCCGCCAGGTGCGGCTCCTGCTCCAGCCCAATCTCAGGACAGGTCGGCTGTCGTCTCATAATGCCGGTCTTCTCTGCTCTTGGGTAACGTGTAGGGAATGATTGATGGGGTCTGCCATGACCCGCTTGACTTTGAGGTGGAAGAAAGAGCCCACCAATTTGGATGGAGCCTTGGAGGTGGGTTAGGTGCGCGCGCTCTCCCACTCACGACCCTTGTCAGCTCTACATCCATTCCCAGTAGCTAGCCGTCGTATGGGTACCTCGATGGCCTGGTAGGGCAATCGACATGGATCCTAAACACGCTGCCGGTCAACTCCAAAAGAGCCTATCAATGGGTGCTTCTTTTTTTCCCCGCTACGCCACATACCAACGCCGTGACCACAGGTCCCTTAGACGATGGCTCACTTACCTAGTAAACGGATCTCTTCGTTTACAACACGCCCCCCCAGTCAGTCCTTCATACTCCAAGCTTTACTCTTTCCCCCATCACTCTTCCATGGTGCCACTCCCGCAATCATTTGTCACCCTTGCTAACGGCATGTTTTCTTATTGCTCAGCGTACGCTCCACGGAACACGCTTCACTGCAATTCAGACCCTTGCAATGTACCGTCCTGTACCCATGGCTCCATGTCACTCAAGTCTCTTTCGAGGTGTCAGTGTTCCTTCACTTCGTCATGCACGTTCAACGGGAGGATAGTGTACTGCCCTCTTTCATATAAGTCGACATCCTGTCCCTGGTCGTGTTTGGGGCTCAGATGGTCCATAGATAGATCAACGTTTTAAAACCAAGCTTCGATATTTCTTCATCCTAAACAACTACACAAGGCATTCTTATAAGCCCCAATCCTTTGACCCAGCTCGTCACTTATTAACCACATCGGCACCTCACAACAACAACATCCAATCCTTTATCATCGGCTTCATTAGCTCCTCATATTTCCGTATGTCTCAATCAGAGTCTCTTTACCTGCCCCCGTCCCCTCCATCCTCAGTCAAGATGGATTCAGCCTTAGCAGATGGAAACTGTGACAACTCGAGCTCACCGCCCGCCAGATCCATTCTCAGTAGTCAAGTCTCTGTTAGCGGAGAGTTTGTACTCGGCTCGAATATCAGTACCTCGCCACAGACTCACACACTTGGACTATCCCATCAGCCTCCGGTCTCCTCACCAGATCATTACTCATCATCCACCCCCTACCTCAACACACCAACCGCCGAGTCTTCTTATTTACCTACACCTGCCTCTCAGTCCTATTCCCAGTTTCCAACCTTGGCTTCGACCGGCGTTGACTCAAACTGGAACCATTCAGACCAACTGCAGGAGGGGTCTCTCTCTCACCCACAACAGAGCCATCAACACTTAACACCAAGCTCCCGCCCATCAAGATCAACCAGCATGAGGTATTACCATTCTATACCCTAAAAGTTTAGACAGGCGCTAATACTGTTTCTTTAAGTACTGTTGCTCTTCAGTTTGACCCTGCCTTCACCATGGGGCCAAGATCAGCCTTTACATGGCCAGGTTAGCAATACTCATTATTCCTTCGCCCATACGTTGCTAACTTAGAATCCACAGGCCCTATCGAGTCGAGCACCTCTGGAAGCAGCTTGCTTAGTCCTGGACTATCTTCAATGGGACATGTCTCCCCTCAGTCAAGATCAGTTACATCGAGCCCTCCACGATTCTCTCTTTCGACGGATCAGCGAGAAGTCAAGCGACAAACGGATAGGGCACGTCGAGACTCGAGGCTTGTCAACAGAATGCGCCGTGCCAACAGCAATCCCTATGTCGATTCCTCCCCATCGGCGATGGGACTTCCCAGCACAACAAGTTCCATGAGCATCCCAGCCTACACTACCGCTCCCGCACCCGTAACACTCATGAGCGACACCCCGACTTCAATGAGCAATTCGACATACCTACAATCTTACAGCCCTTCTCTCGAAGACCAGCAACCACCTTCGGCATACCCTACCACTTACCCACAAAGCTTGTAAGACCCCTGTATCATAGGGCGGCGCCCGGACCATGCTAATCTGCGATAGACAACCCAGCTACAATATGCCTGTGGATTATGCACCTGTTTATGCTGGATCAAATCAGTATGGGTACGTTGTTGGTCTTCACATGTTAAAACATCATAGCTAACCCAAGGCAGTGCTCGATCGCCACCAGTACCTGTTGGTCAGGATGTCGGTTTTATGTACCAGGTGCCAACTGTTATGGGTCCCGGAAGCGCAAATTCGCAAGATGCGGGACATGTGAGAGTGGTGCAAAGCCGACCAAAGCCACGATGCTGGGAACATGGGTGTAACGGACGACAATTTTCGACATTCAGCAACCTACTACGACACCAACGCGAGAAATCAGGACAAGCCGCCAAAGCATCGTGCCCTAACTGCGGAGCGGAGTTTACGAGAACTACTGCACGAAATGGACATCTCCTCCATGACAAGTGCAAAGGCCGACGAAACTCGTGAGGTGTGCACTTAAGGAAAGAAAAACAATCAGGAGATGCTTCAGCTATCATTACTTCAACATTTGGGAGCTCGGAATTTGAACTGAGCCATACTAGGCGTTGGTTACTGATGACTGCACTTCACAGCGGTCTTTAAACAGGTCGGCGTTATATCTTTTGGGCAACAGGCTACAAGGCTATTGAGGATACACGGAATGGTTTAAGCCTTTGGCGTTCTATCTCACAATAAACCTAGATGGGATGGGATGGGATGACTGGTGTTGTTTAACAGGTGCAAGGCGACCAGATATGGTCACGCATGCTGGAAACATGCTTGGGATGGATGTCTGTCGAGGCAGGGACATGCACATTTTGGAAAGCCTCCGGAGCATATTGGTTATGGAGTTTGTTTTTGAGCAAAATATGGTGCTCCTTCTGCCAATACCCCCATACAATATTGGTACTATATTTCTTGTTTTTTTTTTCCCCACACTTCTATGTTACAAATATTTCTTGATATACTAGAAAGGGCTAGCGATATAGCAAGCTGCTCTACAACAAGGCTTTTGCCATTGAAATCAAAATCTCGATACACATGATTGTACACTTGGTTCTTACTGTGAGATTCGGCGAAATGGGTGACCAAGGGCACCAGTTGGGTCGTGTTGGTTGAGGGACGTGCTAAATTAGAGTACAGCACGATTGTATGTAAACGGTTGAAAAGCAGCTTAGCGCGGTGACTTAGGAGTCGGTGCTAGGGCATTGTACTCTTTACAGTACGTGTCTGGTCTAAGCCATAGGTAGGACCGTATACAGCAGGACTAAGGTAGACAGCGACTGGGGGAAGAGTCTGGGCAAATTGAGTATGCAAGAATCGAACGAGAAGACTGATTTGAAACAGGACGACCATCCAGAAAGGACGGGATGCCCCAGACTGCCGGGAAAGGCAGGCCATACGAGTGGGAAGAAAATGATCGTCGCGGCACTCAGGCCCATCCCTGCGGTCACTGCAATGCTAGGCAAGTTAGTAAGCTACCTTATGAAATTGACCAGGTTGGGTTGGCAGCACAGCCGCGCTACAAATAGCAGGGTGCAGCCAAGGCATGTACTATGTGGGCTGTGGTTGAGTGATATAAGGTCCGAAGGATCAGTACTGCCACTTGTAAGTCGACCCATTCTATTTAGAGATGATATAAGGTAGCTTTAAAGATTCAAAGCAAGAGTTGAGTTGCAACAACGCACAAAGAATAGAGAGAAAACAATAGGAAGAATCAGGCATTTATTGGTCGACATGGTTCTCGGGACCGGTTGAGGTTATTAGACCGTAGGCCCGTATCCGATCCCGCCTCGGCCCCGAGAAAAAGGACCCCCGAAAACAGACTTGGACGAAAAGACGGAAGATTTGCAGCGTCCCCCCGGCGTCAGTTGGCGAATGGTAGGTCGGATCGAGTCGGTCCCAACGGCCGACCGGCGCAACCACTGTCGTCCGCCCAGCAGGGCTCTGGGCGTCTCAGTCAGGGCAGGGCATAGCAGCAGGGCTCCTAGGAGATGGACAGGATAGGACAAGCGAGGCATGGGTACCTAGAGAAGAAATGAGAGAAGCGACCCCCTTATCCTGTCTAGCCTGTCTGGTTGCGTGGGGTCCTTTGGGATACTAGATGTACCCCTACGATGGAAGCATGTCACCCACTGGTTCACCCCCACGGCATACCTACTAACATACAGACGGATACATGTACGTACATGTACATTACCATGGGAGTGGCATGTGCATTGCATGGGATCTTCTCATGAAACGGGGGTGAGTGACAGCCACATGGTTTCTGGAACACTCAACTCAGTTTCTGGCACAAGCTGAAAGTCTGCCCTGCCCAGAAACATTAGAACTAAGGTAAACTTAACATTAGACTAAACAGCAGTGGACGGGTATTGATTAAGGGAATAGAGTGGGAATGACTGGTAACAAAGCCAAGCTCAACACTCTATTCCCCTAACTACTAACGTTCTCCCGTGCTTATTTTGACTGGGATAGGTTAACGCAATATCCATTCCTAGTGGTACGGATAGAAGGTCCTCCGCTGCTGTAGGGCTAAGTTACAGTGGGGAATCCAGGGACACCTCCCGTCTACTGCTGCACTTTTCCCCGAAGGCCGGTAAGTAAGGAATGGATGGATCTTTTCCTTCAGTATCCTCACCGTCGGGTCCATTGTCCAAGAGCGATATTCATGGGTAGCTCATCTGCTGTACAAGGCTGCAGTGAATCGAATCCTTGTATGTATATTTACCGGGAAACCGGAAGAAAATCTCAATCTCCTATTTAGTAAATTCATGACGCCACGGACCCCAGCGATTGAGTATCACTGTTACATTGAGGAGCATCAATGCTACTCTGCCGTTTCTTTTGCTCAATTGCAATCTTGCATTTTACTGCTCTCTGACCTCTGTACTGCACAGTGGGCATCGACGTGGTCCATCACTTGTGGTGACTGATGCGCCAATTGAATCTAAGTGTGACTTGACCACGTCGATGGGTCAACCGCCAAGTGTCACAGTGGATCGGATCGTCAGTATGCGAGCAAACTACTCGGACTCATCAGGTCATGATTCCTTCCTCATTCGGATAGCTCACTGTGATACTTTCAGACAGTTGACCTCAGTACAGATACGTACCTGGGTTGCATACATTTACGATGCTCCATCCTTGACAAACTGACGCGGGAGGCGTTGCTGTCATTCGAGAACCCGGTTTTCCTAGGCTGAATCTTGCTGATTAGCTTTCTGATCAGAATGGCCAACCCAGATAGACGTTCCAGAAGGAGCAGAATACAGCAGGTGGTGGCTTGAAGGATCTCAATGTCAGACATAAACCGTTGCAGAATGCTACCCTGAGCATATGGCAAGGCATAAATCATAATTCTGGCCCTGGGTAGGGCTGGAAAAAGCGGGATTTAACATCCAATCCAGAAGACTGTGCATATCAATATAATGCAAACGTGGAGGTGGATATGCCTATGTCCTCAACTTGACCCGATAAAGGGGAAATGCCACGGAGTTGCGAACAAGAACAGGTTTTGTTCCCGTGTCTTTGCCTCTCAACCGTCCATTCGGATGCAGGTACAGAGCACAGCAACACACGGACAATCAAACAATGAACCGGCATAGGGGCATTCCAGATCCTGGGGATTTCTGCATCTCCAACAGATTGGATATTCTAGTAACACACATGCTCTCTTGCTCTTTACGTTTACGTTTACGTCTACCAGGCTCCATCATCAACTCGCAGCCCACCTAAGTTCGCCGAGACAGCATGTTATAGGAAAGGCGTTTGTTGAAATGATATTAGACTGACCAGACCAGACGGTAAAATCCGTGACGATTCTTGACACTAAACAACCTTGAGCATAAACAGGCTAGCTAATTTCCCCGACCCAGGTGAACGGTCTGAACTCCTTGACTCCTCCATGCTAGGCAGACTCGCCAAGAGCCTAGAGCACAGGACGGGATAAAGCAAGCGACAAAATCGTTAGTTTCGCTCTCTTGAATATTATCCGACCGAATCGTTTGCGGCGACTCCTTCCGTGTAGTCTAATAGCTGGGTCCTTTATGCTGCCAAGCAAGGACAAGCTCTTTAGCCAGCACGTCCAGTAACATCTCAGAAGGCCTTATCGACCGAGACCTAGAGAGCCTCGACGTGTTATTGTGTCACTAAAGTGGATGAGGCGATCTCGGCTGGAGCTCTTAATCCGTACGAGATCCGCGGTCGCGCATCCATATTTATTCGGGTCCGGAAGACAAAGTCATCGGCCGAGTCGGACATGATTTTACTTTTCGCCAAAATTGTGTCCCCTGAAGAGTTTCCTTAGCTTATTTCTCCCTAACTGGGATGTGATCTGTATGGATGTATCCTTACCGTACCGTACGTGACGGTACCCTGCCGTGGGGCAGTTCCGAGGATCGTCTAAAGCATCACTGACTCTGATATAACTGTTGGATCCTTTGTGGCTGAGTCGTGATGAAACTGGTAGCATATGTCAGAAATCTGTCAGTCTGCCTTACTCTTTCTCGCACGCACTACAATTTTAATTCATCTCGGGGAGTCACGGACCATGGCAAGGTAAGATCTGATGTGATGTGAATCTGCCGACATGAAATTTCATCTCTACAACATGACTTATCCTGGTGATGCGCTTGTTGGTTGGTTGGATTCGTTTGGCCAAAACATCAGCTTACCTAGTGAAACACCGAAGAAAGAAAGTGTGATTGAGCCTCATACCTTATCTGAAACGCTGTAAACAGCCGCAGCAGAGAAAGCCAAAAAAGCATTGATCAGGATGGTACGTACCAAAGCATTACCGATTCGATTCGATTAGGTAGCTCGTTCCCTGAAGCCTCTAAACTCAACATGGTATTTCGTGTAAGTGAGTCGGCCGCCTTCATCTTCAAAGGAGTGGACCCTCTAACGTCGAAGGAGTGCGGCCCGTCATTACACTCCACAAGGGAAGGTGTGGTCCAGCACGTCACGTAAACGGCATTCGCCCTGTGCTTATCAAACACCCGCTTTTTCTCTTATCCACACGTCCTAGCAACAACCACAACAAGACTTTTGTTGACATTCTCACACCCTACCTAGACCACACCTTACCATGCGACAATGGCCTTGACAGCGTCGAGATATAGGGCACGCAAGCAAAAGGTATTCCGGTCCGTTTTCCAGACTGATGTCTCATCGCCCACGCCTCGCTCAACTCCCATCGCTGCCTCCACGGATCAAGGTGCCGCCTTTGGAGGTCCCCACGCGTCGTCATCCAAACATGCTCCCCCACCACCACCGCCTCTCTTTCATGAGACTCTCCATCATGCCGATGATCAAGTAAGGTGGGACCGGGCATGGCATGTCGTTACTTCCAAGATACAGTTGCCGACTTCAGTGGCTGTGGAAGACTCCTTTGGAACCTTACCGTCAGAGTCGCAGGAGGTCGATTTGGATGTTCGCGATTCTATCGCCCTGCTCCTCTATCCTAGCCGCTCTCTGCCTGGTGCGACTCAGACGGAGGACATCCTACTCTGGCATACCCATCAAGTACGCCAGCACTTTGTTCACCATGTTATGCCCCTGTTGGCTGCTTGTACCAGTCAGGGCGACCAGACACAAGTATTGCTGTCAAGCATCTCAACACTTGAGGCAGCTCATAGACAGTATCTCTGGGGATTGACTCTCATCGTGCAAGGTTACGACGACGAGGCTTCTTCAAATGCAGCATTTTCAAAATTCCGTCGAGACCTACATGCTATCATAGGCAACTCTCTTAACCAAGGCTTGACGGATGCCCTGACCAGTGTCTTGCGTCGCCTTATCCGACTCAATCTTGGTATAGGGAAACGTTATGATGGGTCTGCATCATTCTCAGAATCGCAAGGGGACAGCTTAGCAGCTCGTCAAGAGTTATTAGGTCTCTTAGAATCTCTGAAGAATGTTGGTCTAGTGGGAGAAAAGTTTCAAGTTCTTTTTGCAGAGATCATGGATGCCAGCATGAAAGACTTCATTAAAATATCCTACTCGGGAGTCTGGAAAGTACCCGAACAGTCAGAGACGCAATCTACTAGTGTCTCCTCTGGCTGTCTCGGTCATCTTTCTGAATGGGTTGAGAATCAGTACGGGCGTCTTGCTGTTGAATTTCTCAGCCGTCTGGAAACACATATCGCGTGGGGTGATGTCGAATGTTGGAAGGATATTGCCATAGGACGTCTTGCAACACTTCGAATTCACGAGCTCTTTGATATCTCTTTGAACTGGCCCGAAAGTAGAGGAGGACTGGAAGATCTTCGTCTGGCTGTCACAACACCACAGCGACGTCTTCAACTAACGGATACCTTCTCGATGGCCCTGCAGAAACGCTTACTTCACCCTGGCAGGTCCACCTCGGATATCCTGCAAACATACATCTCCATGATCAGAACTTTTCATGCCTTGGATCATTCCAAAGTCCTTCTTGATCGGGTCGTTCACGCTCTGCAGTTGTATCTCTGTCAAAGGGACGATGCTATTCGCATTGTCGTTGGTGGTCTGCTCTCCAACCCCAGTGAGGCCGACACAGAAGAAGGCAAGGCAAACCTCGCGGAGCTAGCAGTACTGCTGAACGCGGCATCTCAACAACAGCGACGCCAGGTTGAGGATGAGGACCTCGATTGGAACGATATGACTTGGGTTCCAGATCCTGTGGACGCAGGTGTGAACTACAAGAGACCCAGAAACGAAGACGTTATCGGTACTCTGATTAGTGCACTTGGTTCTCAGGACATCTTTATTAAAGAGTTCCAGCTAATCATTGCTGAGCGATTGCTTTCGAACCAGGCAACCTTCCAACAAGAGACTAAGGTATTGAGCCTTCTTAAGAAGCGGTTCGGTGAGAGTGCTCTACAAAACTGCGATGTCATGATGAAGGATATACAGGACTCGAAGAGAGTTGATGCGGTTCTGTGCAAGACCATCCGACAAACGTATAACGATCCTGGAGCAATTGCGCACCACTCCAAGATTCTATCACGACTATTCTGGCCTAGTCTACCCAAAGATCCTTTCACAGTACCAGCGCCTGTTGCAGAAATGCACAGCAGATATGAGCAGGGATTCGAACGACTCAAAACGTCTCGAAAACTCAACTGGCTGGACCAGTTGGGCTCAGCAACTGTCAAGCTCGACTTCGAAGATCGCTCAGTTGAGCTTGAATGCAAGACATACGAAGCTGCAGTCATCTACGCGTTCCAGGATGAGAACAATGAAGGAGAATCCGGTCCTACGCAACGAACTTTCAACGGAATATGGCAAGAACTCATGATTGACGAGGACCTTCTTGAGCTTGCTATCAAATTCTGGATCTCCAAGCGAGTCATTCGTGATGTTGGCAATCAAACCTACATGGTATTGGAGCAACTGGACAACGCAGATGAGGCTGGAGAAGCAGGTGCTCCTGATGACGGACAGGATGATGTTGGTGGCCAGCCATCTCCGCGCAAACCCAAGATCGACTCCAAGGAGCAGGAGCGGCGTACCGTCTACTGGCAGTTCATCGTGGGCATGTTAACAAACTCGGCGCCAACTATGCCACTTGGTCAGATGTTAATGATGATGAAGATGCTGATTCCCGACGGCTGTTCATGGACTAATGAGGAGTTGCAGGAGTTTCTGGCAGAAAAGGTGGCGGAGAATAAGTTGGAGCTAGCTGGCGGCAAGTATCGTCTGCCCAAGAAATGAAACCAGGCTACGTTGGCCGTCAGCAAACGGCTTATGAGTTAGTTTTCCATGTCTCGGGCTTGAAAGAAACGAGTCCTAGATGCAGTGTGACCTTGTCCGAGGTGGTGGAGGTATTCGCGTATGCTTGCTGCCTGTACAAACAAACGGAACCGACCAGAAGCCGTTGGGAGCCGAGGTGAAAGTTTCTGGTGATATCATATATCTTTTGCATTGGCGGAGCAGGCAAGGAATGGATGGATATCTCGGGCTCTTCCCTTCCGGTGAAACCATGAGGCCTTTCTTGACCAAGCGACAACGCAGGGAATATAAGGCCTGCTCCCAGGCTTAGGAGATATTCACAGGGTTGGTGCATTGACGCATGCTTTTTCATGCTCCCGCATGTCGTGCCCGGGGGAAAGGGCCATTTATGTATCAGTTTGTGCGCTGTTCCCAACTATAGAGCCGAGGTCGGGTAAAGAACCCAAATAGGAAGTAAGAGTTAGACAAAAAGAAAACCACCTAGAACAATGAGATCCCGAGTATATGTGAATGTCACCGTGATATGAAGAATCAGGCGAATAAAATGTTTGCGAGGTGCAAAGTTTTCAGCATTCTCGAGCTTGACGTGTTACAGATGCGAGACTAAAGAGCGCTCCAATAATGTGCAAACAAGAATCAATCCGATGTTTGAGGCTCTGGTCGATGTTTGGTCTGATTCGTCTTATAGATTAAAGTGGTTGCAGTTGTTGGCTCCTGTGAATTACGAATGATCAGCAGACGTCGCGACTGGCACGAGACTTGAATTTCGATCATGCTGTGGAGGGACAAGTCGAAAAGTGCGTGCGAGAAGAATCTGCTGAGGATGGTTGCATACTCATTAATCATGATATCAAGTCTGAGCTATTATGGGCTTGTTTCTTCAATATCAAAATAATCGGCTTTTGCTTGGACGTTTTCTTCCGGGCCGTGAGCCACTTTGTTGCTCAATTGTTGAATGCCCGGGCTACTGGAAGGCTACCCTAAAGCTGTTGATAGGTTAGTAAGTATGACAAAGCCTTGACAAGAAATGCTTACATGGATGGAGCATCACAAAATATAATCTACACTGGCTGTTTAAAATATTAATATTGGATCTCAAACTCAGCTATGTGTGGTTTTCTCATGCTGTGCCGAGCCGTGTCTACTATCGACGCAGGTGTCCGCTCGGATGCGCCGTAGCATCCATATAGTACGGAGTACCTTTTCATTGATGGCTGGCTGGCTGGACAATTGTCTCCGGGTGTTTCGATGCAGGAGAGTTCGTAAAAGGAAATCGATGGCACATGGAAACTATGACGAGCAGACCAGGCATCGATAGCCTATAGGTCATTGACGCTCTTTTGCGCAACGACGCAGTCGGACTTTGTGCGTGAAGAGACATTACCAAATTCGGATAGTTTGGACCCTGTTTATGTGATTACCGGGCTACCTACAGGATAGCATGCATGGATGTTTCCTGCTTATGCATGTCTGCAGCTGGACTCGAAAAGCGATTTTGAGTTTGAGTTTGGACTGGGAACGTGAACGTGAACGTCAGAGGAACGCAAGGTTGACGATTGTGCCTCTTCGTAATCGAGTCGCCTAGCAGAAATGTTTTTGTAGTTGCCCGAGTTTCTCGGCGTGAAACTGTGTTTAAAAGGTCCATGCTATCATGGGTTGATCTCACATGATAGATCATGTTTTCCACAGGCCATCATGTATTTGCACAGGATGACATTTTTATATGAGTTTCTGAGGCCTTCCAATATAGGAAATTCCTTGGTGGATTCCCTGACTTATTGTGTAAGTGATTTGGTATCCAGTGTATAACCTTGTTGGCCTCTGTGTATAATGCTTAGAGTTCTGAATGGAGAGTTGGAGTTAAAGACACCAACAAAAACGTCCACCGTCGCCATTTCGTATGCCAGACCAATACAAGTCATTAACCGGGCATGATAAGAGGGTCTGTAGACAAAAATTCCACCGCTGCGATGGCCTGATTTTCTTCAAGAATGAATATTGAATACTCTTACAGCGGCCTCTCACTGTGGAGTCACCTAAGAATTCAGGCCCACATCCACCAACCTAAAGTTGACTCCATCCTTGGACGGATTCAATAGAACGGTCCAATCAACAGTCTTGTCCATGACATCCATCATGGCTTCTACCTTCAATTCTGCATCATGTGAACGTCCAAGCCAGAAACGATATCAGTGACCTTTGGTCAAAGCCGCCTGAGTTGGGTATCTTCCTGCGCTGGGTCCTCGATCGATGATCCTTGGCTACCTACTCCAAGGTATTGAGGTTGGGCTGGCTGAATACCTCTAGAGCTGTTGGGCTTTGGCTTTGACTTTTCCCCCCTCGCTTTTCCCTACCCTGCGCCTGCAGCTGAGTTGGCGGCTAGACTTTTTCATCTGGCACATGACCATGACCATACCATGACCATGAACATGGACATGAATCAGAAATGACTCTTTTTGGATCGGCTTTTTGCATTCTTGGAAGTGGAGGTCTTGTATGAATCAAGTAGTGAGTAGGATGGTTTCTTGCAGAGTGTAACCGGTTTTTTTTTTTTTTTTTTT